TAAGTTTACGTGAAACATGTAACGTACAATAAGTGGAAATCTTCTTGAAAAAATAGAAAAATTGTTAGTCAAAGACAAATCAAGGTCTACTACTGGTTAAATTATGGAAATAACATCGGACGTTTTGAGTTGTTTATCCGGTAGTAGAGCTTGATTTGTCTTTGAATATTGTTTTACTTGAATGTGTAACCTTCATCAATGCAGAAAAATTGTTTGTTTTGGTTGCCCCCTATTTTGCTTAACTGTGGTACAGTCCATTGTTGAAGTCAAGTCAAGTCAAAGTTTATTGCACAACTAATGTACGGATACATCGTATGGCAATTAGCGGTACTAAGTACAAATCTAAAATCTAAACTAATGCGTAAAAGAGTATTACATTCATGCTGTATATGAATCGAACTTAAGTTACATCGTACTAGTATACAAAAGGAATGGCAAACATTATACAGGGGTTCTGTAAATCTACAACTAAATACTACTCTGTCCTATACTTAAGTATGAAGTGCTTTGTCCTGATTGGTCAAAAAGGAAGACCAGCTGGCAAAGTGTTATGGTATATTGACCCTTATGTGTCTTTGGAAAAGGCCCAGATGATCGAGTGCAAATGGTGAATGTTCAGGAAAGTGCATGTACGTAGCTAGGGGGTCGTGAACACGAAGCAATGCAATATGCAACTTTGGTTCATATGGTGTGCATATTGAATAAAAATAAGCATCAGAATTCAGATTCAGAAGACAAATTGTACAAATTGCTAATAGCAATCAATCAAAGATTGTAGGTAGTATCTAATGTTTTGCGACTAGTATTAAGATTTACATGTAGAACAATTGTTATGATTCATATACACGTAGTGTCAAAAGCAGTGAAATCCTAATAAAACTGACTTAAGAAGATGGTATTCTGTTCACGTAGCTTGTAAAACGTTATAAAACTGGCCACTGTAAATTCTGTGAAAGTCATTTCCATGTTTCAAGGGTATATTTTACTGGAAGGGCTGTGTTGAGTTTTTACAATGTTCAGAAAAGAATGACTTTAGAAGTATGAATAAGGTCCAAACTGAAGCTCCTGTGTTGTGCTGAAGGGCAGTACATAATACCGGTATGCAGATACAGATAGATTTGAGATGTCCTTTCATATTGTACACACATGTAGAGTTCACAGTATTCTTAATACTTCGACAGATTTTATTGTTTTCATTAGCTTTGTGTTTTGAAACTTATCGATTTTTTCTCAGTCCTCAGATAGATGTAGGATTACAGAAGACATTTTGGGTTTTGACCTCTTATATAACGACCTTTCTTATGTAAGGCTTGAAGTTGAAAGCTCAGTGTGGGATTTGATATGATCCTTACTACCGGTATCATCGGCGGGTTATTATATCTGGCCTATGCAGTATTAACTATTATGCAACGGGATTGAACTCAGCCCCTCAATATAATGGCCCAGGGCTCGAAATTCATTTTTGGGAATAGGCGCACTGGTGCACCCAACCAAAAAAATATTTTAGGTGCACCATATAAGATAAGTAGAATGTCAATAAAATCTAATTATGTTTCATTTTTAAAGAAAAAAACTATAGCAATGATTTTATTATTTTTTCCGACACTTAAATGTTCAGAATACATTTTACAAGTTACTAACCATATCTTTACACACCTAAACCTGCGAAAATATTTGGTGTGCAGAAAAAAATTGGGTGCACAGCTCACTAAAGTGAACATGCCTCCATGTACATGTGTACTTGGAGCCCTGCATATCATTGACGGGTTATCATATCCGGCCTCTACACTACAGTGTTATGCAACAAGATTGAACCTAACCCCTCACAATACAGGGCTCGAAACACCTTAGTGCACCCAATTTTTTTCTGTACCCAATATTTTTGTACCAGTAGGTATTTTTGTACATACTAAAAGTATAATAGTATACAGAATGTTCCTGGCATCTAAGGGTCAGAAAAATAATAGAATCTTTGTTGTAGAACTTGTAGTACTTGTGTAAGATTTTGCTCCCATTTCAGGTTCAAGCTCAGAAGAGGAGCAGTAAGATCTGTAATTAGGTCTTGTTTTATACGGTGCACCAAAACAAGTTTTTGTGCACCTAACTTTTTAGGTTGGGTGCACCAGTGCAGCTACGTATTCCCAAAAATGAATTTCGTGCCCAGGTAGTGTTAATAAACTGTTATACAACGAGATTGAAGTCAACACACCGCAATATAATGATCTTTCACACTTATCAAAATGGACAGTCTTTGATACACCTCCGGCTCATCCCAGGCCTGAGTGTCAACTTAAGTGGTGAGAAATGCGGGAAGGAGAGGAAAGGTCACGTCTTGAAAACCTTTTAGAGTTAAGAAAGCAGGGGTGGTGGCCTCTTGACTCCTGAAGCAGCTAGCGTGGTGACCTCTGCTGCCCCCGACATGTCTGTCTACTTAGATACAGGCAGCTTTTACTTTTAGTTTGAACCTTACGTGGGAGGATGACTTCTTACTCAGTTACAAAATAATAAAACTGGGGGGCGAAAGTCAGACTCAATGTACAAAATGACTAATAAGCTGGTGGACGCACCTAGCCTGGGTGCCATCCGATTTGTAACGGCAACCCCGAAAATCGGATGGCACCCAGGCTAGGACGTACCAACCACTAAGTATCTGATACCGCTGCCCAGAAAAGACCAAGAAACTATCATGCCTTCAAATACCAGAGTTATCATCGAGGTGCTCAAAAACTCATACTTCCCAAGAGTGGAAGTTCCTAGAGTGGAACTCATTGCCACCAAGCACAGTTGGGGCATTATCACTAAAAAGCTTTAAACAACTCCTGCAATTAAATGCGGAAAGATTCAGTGTAACAAGTTATTCGGTGTAATATTATTAACGTCTAACAGAAATGGTGATTTCGTGCAGGTGCAGTACGTTCTGCTGACTTGCTAGTTTCCGTCTACTTCAGTATAATATTTATTATCCCGTGAAATGACACCATGAATCTTTGCGTGATGTTTAACTTTAATTTCAGCTGGACGAATGTTGCTGCCACAGTGAAACACTAGGGAGGCAGGAGGGTGGCACCAGACTGTCTCTGTAGGGGTGAATTTTATGTCTGGACTGTCCAGATAAACATAGGGTCACTGTTACGTAATGTTAAGGCAGTTTTCAAAGGACATCAGCATGAATATTGTGCTTGTGGGAAGCCCAGATTTTTCATGGCTTTCTCTGGATGTTTGGTCAGCCTTACTTCAGAATTTTGACCGTTTGCCTTTCTCAGTCAATTTTATTAGGATTTCACTACTATTGCTCTAATTTCTAAATCTTGATGGTCGCAAAACAATAGATGCTACTGGTATGTAGATTATAGGGGTGACACCATTGAAAGGGTTCTCCATTGAAACATATGCTAAATCAGACATGAAAATGGGCATCATATCTCTAGTTTACGAAGTTTCTGTCACACAAACTCACCTTCACGTGTTAGCCAATTTAATAATATGTACCTACAACAAGTTTCGGAAAAAAGTGGACGGCTAGTCTCGAGGTACAGCCTTGTTTATAAGAATCCGTGCACTTTGACCCCATATTCTAGGTCGATACCAAGGCAGGATGCAGGAGGGGTGTATGGCAACAAACAAGCCCATAACAAGGCAATTTCATGAAAAAACTTCATTTTTTTTTGCAAAAACATTCACTCACAACCCTACACAGTACAATCCACCACAAAAATGCCAAGAATTCAACAAAAATCCCACCCAAGAAAGGGTTTTAAAGCTCTTTAGCTCATTTTAATTTTGGGGTCTCTCACCCAGCAACTTGTGCGCATGCCCTTCGACCCGCGTCACCCCTCTATGGTCAACAGACAACATCTTTTCTGACATAACACTTGACTTGAGATGGGATGTTATCCTTAAAATGTCAGTTTAAGACGCAAATATGACCCTAAATGAGACTTGTACATGCAAAGTGCTATGCACATGCACTTACATTATGGGTTTCACACAGTCACAGTACATTCTGATGATGTGCTTGGAACATATGTGTTACCCACTGGCCATGGCCAGGCATAATTACATACTCAGGTCTGTCTAAAGTACCATGGCATTCAGAAGAATTATACCTTATTCAGCGCTTGAAATACCTTCTTCTTCTTACATAATATTAGAGATTTACCTTAAACTTTACATTGCTACAGAGATGACATTTAGCCAGCTCCAAATGACGGTTATTGAAGCCTGTATTTGATATTTGTACTTAAGGTAGAAAAGCCCACATAATTGAGGGCTTGGACTGGAACCCATATTACATTTTAGCTGATGGCATTTCAGCACCACAGAGACTACTTTAACCTTCTCCCTTCTGCCCAACCCCATAACCAATAGAGAATTGGTTAGCCAAATTACAACCCTAGTGTGCTAAAGGTTAAGTTCTAAAGACCCTGTGAAAAGTTAAAATCCCTGTTTTGCCAACTTACTTTTTTTCAGTGAGTTTCCTTACCTTAGAAGTTAGCTCATTAGTTGGATTGCAGGATTCCAGGGAAGTATTTTAAGGTCTCACTAATGGCTCATCAATCTAAGATCTGACATGTCAGTTTTTCTGTGACAAATAGACTTTTTTGTTCAGGTGCAGGTCTAGGCAAAGTGTACCCGATGTGTTTTGTTGGTGTGTTACGTGTAAGAGCAGTTATACTGGCTAAACAGATACAGAAGCTGGTGTGTTACGCCGAAGGGCGGTTATACCTGCTATACAGATACAGAAGCTGGTGTGTTACGCCGAAGGGCGGTTATACCGGCTAAACAGATAAAGAAGCTGGTGTGTTACGCCGAAGGACAGTTATACCGGCTATACAGATACAGAAGCTGGTGTGTTACGCCGAAGGGCGATTATACCAGCTATACAGATACAGAAGCTGGTGTGTTACGCCGAAGGACAGTTATACCGGCTATACAGATACAGATACAGAACATTAAGATGCACATCCTTACATGTCGGTTTTCTTTTGTCCCTTCTCCAGTCCGCTGTTTGTGACCTGGAAGACCGGGCGCACACGTCGCCTGCGGGGCTGTATGGGCACCTTCACAGCTATGAACCTCCATGGTGGACTCAGGGAATACACTCTCACTAGGTAAGACACTTTCACTTGGTACTAGGTAAGGCACTTTCACTGGGTAAGGCACTTTCACCAGGTAAGGCACTTTCACTAGGTAAGACACTTTCACTAGGTAAGACACTTTCACTGAAGTAAGGCACTTTCAGTTTTACCGAGATAAGGCACTTTCACAGCTATGAACCTCCATGGTGGACTCAGGGAATACACTCTCACTAGGTAAGACACTTTCACTGAGGTAAAGCACTTTCACTAGGTACATGTAAGGCACTTTCACTTACAAATGTAGGGTACTTTCACTGAGATAAGACACTTTCACTGAGGTAAGTAAAAATAAGGCAAGGCACTCACTTACTAGTTAGGTTAGACACTCTCACTAGGTAAGGTGGCCTTAGCTAAAAAAATAAATGAGAGAGCAAGACAAAGCTGGTGCACAATTAGTCCATCTGCAAAACTCTACAAGTGAAAACATAAACGATATTGACAACATGATGTCTCCCACCAGCTCTGCAGCAGTACCAAATTGCACGGAGGGATTAAATCTTCCCTCGTTGTGCAAACCTTCCAGATTTAGATTTATTGCCATCAATCCTCAGGAATTTTCCTTTGATCGATCACCTTATAAAGACAATCTAAGACATGTCAGTTGAGAATTAAGTACCAGGATGTCAAATCCTGACTAGGTAGATACTTGTTTGGCAGAATTCCCTACATTCAGGGCTTGAAATACCACCTAGAAATACTAATAATACAGGTTAGTTGAAATTGGAGCTGTGCAGGTATTTCTGATGTCTACCCGTGCCTAACCTGCACTGGTCCACTTTTGACTTTTTTCGACCGCCTTCTTTTCAGAGTATATTCCTAACGATTTTATTATAGGTGTACATGTATGTGTATTTTTATTTCATGCATTGACTCTCCTTACCTATTAAGTATTGAAAGTTTAAAGAAATAATGACAATGGTTTCTGAACAGTTTTAGTATGATCCATACTTCCTAAATTCTGACCGATGCAGGTAAAATTTGTCTGGTGTAGGTAATTTTCAGTGTAACCTGCGCCAGTGCAGGAATGCAGCAAAAAAGCATATCGAGCCATGCAGAATTCCCAGTACATGATAACTGTAATACAGTCATTCATCTCATAGCATTGGGACCTGATATGCCTAACAGGCACATATGCTCTCAGGAGAGATACCGGTGGTATGATAGTCACAGTATTGTATTTCTGATGAGGTGTTTCCAATAGTTTCTCTGTATGAATGTGTCTGGTGCTTCAGGGCTTTAGCACTGTGTTAGGAGTTTATTGATCATTGCCGATTGTTCCCCATTGTATTCATTGTAATTAGTTTGCCGTCATTTTGAAATACAATCATGTACTAGTATTTGTAAGTCAAAGTAAATTGATACATATATCAGAATTTTTGTTCCTGTTCGTTTGTAATGTCTCAAGGTTTAACCAGATTTTAACCTAAGCATAATGAATACTAATTCCTGTCCATCAAAAATGTGATATCGGATAAGAAAAGTTGTGTACGCTGGCCAAAACGCACTCCAGACACAAGCAATGAAAAATTTGGTTGTATAAAAAAATGTTCGATATGTTAACACCAATAGCAGCGCATCTACAGTTACCAGAATTTTGATCATTTCTCAGTTATTGTAATCAAAATGCTCCCTGCTGGAATCTGAAATTAAAAAAGCTGCGCACAATTACAAAAGTTTGCAGGATCGATAATAAGAAACAAGAGATGGTTTATCAAATGTCAGGTTTTCGTAATTAGAAGTGCGTCACTGTAGGATTAAGTACGGTACATTTAACACGGAGAAGGCTTGCATCTTCTTACATAACATGGGTGATAGATTCTTCCGGTTATTGGGTATAATTTTGATCCTTTATTATGTTGTGGTTGTCTGTTTAATGCTGTGTAACAATTGTACTAGTATCTATGCATGCCAGAAACAGCTTCAGCCCTAAATTATTTTTTTTCTGTTCTCTCAAATTTATGTATGCATGCTAATTTCTCTTAATATTTTGACTGTCTAGCAAAACGAAATTGAAGTTTTCTAAAGTCTTATCACCCAAGTGAATGGGAAGAGAATAGGAAGTGAGACTTCACATTTTAAAGCACTTTTAGTAAACAGCAGAAATTTGCAGTTGGGGGCTTCCAGGTAATATAACTGAAGGGAGTACCCTGAAAACTCATAATCATAAATGAAAAATTAATAAAACATAGTGTCCTTGAAATCTGACATTTCAGTTTCAGAGTGACCAGTGTTCAATATTTGTGCACACAATTTCATTTTCCAGTCCAGGGCGGTTACATGTTTGATCGGTCACAGGAGCCAGATGGACACATATTGAGGTCGCCCTTGTACCAAAATGTCCTGCTGGCATTTTTTACAATGTCATCTGTTTCTGTATGAAATATGAGGTGTTAAGTGCTGTCCTTGTATAGCAACTAGTTTAAGGACACTACAAGGTCAATACAAAGAATGTCCACCAAAGTAGAAGGGTTAGCAGAGATTGAGAGATCAAGGTTTCAATCCTTGTTATTCAGGACCGAAATGCCACTGTATACAGTACTGTGTTTGTCTTAACTTTAAATTCTACTCTACGTCATAGTTTGTTTTTTTTTTTAACACCTCAGTCCTTGGTTGATAACTCTGGTACACAAAGCTGAAGGCATGAGCAAAATCTTTTTGTTTTTCGTCCGACAAGAGAACTGTATTCCCCTTGGGAACTATCAGTTTACCCTACTCTCTAGGGAGAGTTCCACTCTATGATATTCTGGGGGAAAAATGATAACTTTGGTACTTGAAGGCATGACAGTATAGCTGTAATATTTTTGTCCAACAAGAGAACTGTATTCCCCATGTTTGTTTCAGTACTTTAAAGGACAGTCGCTGTCCCTACATGTACATGTACAGTCATGTTTGTTTGACATGAAAACTGTACTATAATTATTCCTCCATGTTTTGTCTCAGTGCTTTGAAGGACAGTCGCTTTGCCCCGATCAGCCGGGACGAGATGCCACGCCTGCACTGCTGTGTGTCTCTCCTCACCAACTTCCCTACATGTACATGTTTGTTTCACATGGAAACTGTACTATAATTATTATTATTCCTCCATGTTTTGTTGCAGTGCTTTGAAGGACAGTCGCTTTGCCCCGATCAGCCGGGACGAGATGCCACGCCTGCACTGCTCTGTGTCTCTCCTCACCAACTTCCCTACATGTACATGTTTGTTTCACATGAAAACTGTACTATAATTATAATTATTCCTCCATGTTTTGTCTCAGTGCTTTGAAGGACAGTCGCTTTGCCCCGATCAGCCGGGATGAGATGCCGCGCCTGCACTGCTCCGTGTCTCTCCTCACCAACTTCGAAGATGCAAAAGATTACCTCGACTGGGAGGTGGGTGAAAATCACACGAGTAGCACTTCGGCAGAACGTCTTGTGTATAACTAGTGTTAGGTTAACATCCCGACTGTAGTTTCCAAATGTGTCGGAAAAGATATTGTCTGCAACAGGCAAAATTTTGATGCGACTTAAGTTTAACCAAACAAAAATCAGGGTTTCACACAGGTGCAGTAGATTGGGCCGACATGCTAGCAAAAGAGAACATTCAGATGGTTTGTTACCTCATGGGCTGGCATACGATCTGAACGTATGTTTAGCTACACCGCTCTAGAAGTATAGACCTCATACTACAATGTATAGCTTCCTTTCTCTAGTAATCCAGTATGTATTTTCTTGTTACGCCTATGAAGGTTAGGCATCTAGGTAATGAGATACACTAGAAAACTGTTTCTCAAGCAACTGGACAAATTTTGAAATCTATCCAGTTTCATGTTCAAATGTTTGAGTAGCAGTTTGCTTGACACTGTACTTTGCAGTTACTGTATTGTATTTTTACACTTTTTCAGATTGGCATCCACGGGATTAGGATAGAGTTTGTGAATGAGAAGGGGTCCAAGCGCACAGCAACTTACCTACCTGAAGTGGCCAGGGAACAAGGTGAGTTTGGTGATCTTCAGTCACTATCCATTAGCCAGTCCTTAGAAGTAGATCTAGAGCTCTCATGACTCTTTTAGGGGTGACTGTGTCCGGATTGTCTAAGGTTCTTGCAGTCAAAGACGTTGACGAAAAAAGTGTATTTTGCCCTGCTTTGTACATTCAATTTTCAAACACTGATTTCATTTTCCACTAGGCTGGGATCGAATACAGACCATAGACTCCCTCCTGCGCAAGGGTGGGTACAAGGGCCTCATCACGAACGACGTGCGGCGCAGTATACGACTGACGCGCTACCGCTCGGAGAAGATGACCGTTGGCTATGCAGAGTACATCGCTCACCGAAACAACAACAACTACCAGTACAAACACTTAGCAAACGGGTGCACCTCCAAAGTTTTATGATAAAGGCAAGCAGTCACATAGAGAGGGGCAGTGAAATCATAACCTTTTTTTGTTTTATAAAATGAATGGAAAAAACCCTTTCTTTTTTTTTTATTGTTGTTATATACAGTTGTTGAGTTTTTAACGAGAGAGAGTTCTCCCAGAAAGGATACGAAAGTTGACTGGAAGAATTAACTACCAGGTACTGATGCCTGCTCACTTTAGAGTTTCACACAGCTCATAACGCTTGTTTTTCCATTTCTGTATTCAGCTTGCTTGCACCTTCGCAGTATTTCCATGAAATTGTAGACTGGCTTTTGTAAACATCTGTTTATTATGCCTCTGTTTTGGCTTTCACGATAGCATACAGCTAGTGAAGCATTCTGTTTGACTTTATTTTATGTTAACGTTTCGTTAGATATCCTTGTCTAATTGAAGATACCCAATAAAGACAGTAGGTTTGAATTTCGCTTGGTGCATGTGCATCTAAATTGCCCTGTTTTCTCTAAAAAAAAAAGACCCAAGGCAAACCACAGTCATGACTTTGCTTTGTACTCTCTTTTTTTTCCTTCAAAACCTACGCTCTTCACTTTGGTGAAAAGGCTTATGTTTTGGGGGAAAAGATCCATAGAGTCCATTGTGCAAATTGTTTGTGACAGGTTTGCTATAAAGTTTGCCCTAAAATCGATTTCGATGCACTGGTTGTAAGTAGTTACCTTACCAGCTACACCACAGCCAGGCATCAAACCTGTCATCTGACCAACTTTGTACACTATGTGGATCATCAAGTCACCACGAGGTCAAAGAGCACAGTTCAAAGGTGACCTCCATACTGTACAAAGTGGATGACAAATTGAAAGAGCTAAAAGTTGCATGCGTCGTCCCAATATGCATGTGCAAATTTGTGGGAAGAAACAGTCCTGTTACAACCAGGACATGTCCCCCAAAAATGCTTGTAATAATGAACTTAAAACTAACAATGTAACAGTCCATATTGAAGTTGGACAGTTACATCAAGTGTCCTCTAAAAAATGTATGCTATAATTACATTTTGCTGATTAAGATCAAATCAGCTAAAAGTGAAAACGAAATGCCGAAAAGTTTTGCCCTAGCAGAAATTTTTAAAAAAGCCCAAGAAAAGAAGGCTTTTCCATAAAAGAAGCATTGCTATGCCATAGCATAGTCTTGATATATTGATACTTTGACCTTCACCTATATTGTCAAGGTCAGACCTTTTTTCTCACGATCTTTTGAAAGGCAAAGTGTCAAAACCAAGACATTTAGAGTGACCAAAAAATGGCATATTTTCCAAAAAAGAATTACAGATAAAACTGCTATAGAAAACAACAAAAAAGCCAGTCGTCCTGTAGAAAGTGGCATATTATGTTGCTCTCACCCTTCATTTTAATTGTTACGACTACCTGCAGATGATTCTGTTTCCTGAAACGACAACATTATAATGCCTTTTTCTTTCCTCACACCTTATGCAGTACATTTATACTGAACTGAAGAAATTGTAGCCTGGCTGGTCATTCAAAGGAACGAGTTTTATATGGCCGCATAGTATACACAGTGGTGACTCTGAAAAATGGATTGAGAAACTTGAAAATGTACGATGACCTTTTTTTTCGATTGATTTCAAAAGAATCCAGATATATGTGATGGGAATGACCGACCATATCTACTAAAACGAAGTATGGCCAGTATGCTTAGTCTGGGTACCATCCTCTGTAGTTGAAAAAAAAGATAAAGCCAGTGGTAACTAAGGAGGATGGCACCCAGGCTGCAGCATTCCGTCTTTCTCTTTTCTAAATCTGACTGAGTAACCGTAACGCAAAATCCGCCTTGCAGACAAATACAAGAATGAGAGGAGGAAGGAAAAAAGGCTTTCTGTGTACGCAAGTTTTTCCTTTTTTAAAGTTAAAACTTTTGGTCCAACACAAAAAGTCTCTCACCTAGAGCTTTTGACCAGTCACTCTGGTCTTCCTCAGTAGACTGACCCAGTGAGGCTTGACACATGGCTTCCTTGAAGTGTGACGTCAACACTGGGTCAAAGGTATCTGGTGGACAATGTCAGTAACGGTCAGTCTACCGACGAAGACCAGATTGACTGGTCGAAAGCTCTAGGTGAGAGAATTTTTGTGTTGGACCAAAAGTTTTAACTTTAAACATGTAACTAGCAACACAGATGAACTTTCATGATAAGTTTTACTTTTGACTACAGCAGGCATCTCTTCTGTTGTGTGTGCCGCTCTGGGAGAGAAGTTTTTAACTTAAGATGGTGCTGAGAAAAAATTTCATTGCCCGAATCCGCTCTATGTGACTGTCCCTCCTGTGTAGGGGGGCGCATAGTTTCTCTTGTGTCAGGGGCCTTGGGCGGAGGGTTCACTCACAGGAATGCAACAACGTCCACTCTTTCCATGAACACACACAAAAAAAATCAGGTCTTGGACCTGAGTGTGATCTACTGATGAAATGATATGATAATCTTAAGATTTTGGACGTCTGATTTTCTCAATCAAAACATGACAGACACACTTGCTGACCACTGTTTGAGAACAATGCGTCTGTGTTAAAAAAACTTGAAAAACCTCAAAACCACTTTCAAAACAAAATGTTTGCAAAAGTTTAAATACAAAAATGATAACCCAAATACACAAGAAATGCAATATAAAGAAAACATCTTTCCTCCTGTTATGCTTAAACTAAGATCAACAGAATGTCCCTAATACTGTACATTAATTAGAAATTGCTAAATGAATACCATCCTTCTCCAAGCATCACTGAAATTGTAAAACACCTTCAGTAAACTGACAGCCCTTCTCAACAAAGTCTGAGGGTGAATAAAGAAACACCATCATAAGAAATCCTGTGAGAGAATTCCTAACCCGAAGCCCGTGGTACTGGTTTTGTATCCGATGGAATATTTATATTGTCCAGCAAGTTGGGCGCCTCTATTTTACCCAGTCCATTTTCCACTTTTCTATCACGAGAAAATGAGACGCGCGCACGTGCGTGTACATGTGTGCGCAACGCAATGCGCGCGTGACAAAAAAATAACAACATCAACATCTAAATACTAGTGGACACGGGGTCACCATGATAATGTCAGATAAAACTGTTGACAATCTCTTTCAAGAATGCATTGAGGGAAACACCTCAGTGCGAAAGCCTTTCTATACCACAGGCTAACTCCCCTTCGTTTTCCAACGTGGGGTTCAGATTGCAGCAAATGCTTGCAGATAACGTCAACAGCAATTGTTCTATTGCTAATGTTTTATCCTAGGAGACAGTACTTTGTTTATGGCACTATAGGTATGGTATGTAGTCTATTACGTTACGTTATGTTTTAAGATTTTTAGACATTTTTTTAGGTAAACCTGTAGGGTGTATGATTGGTGGTACGGTAGTCACTTGTGCATTGAGCAAAATGTGCAATGAACGTTAGGTCTTCTGCAGATTGTAACTCTTATACTGGGGTTGTTTTTAGTCTCGAGGAGGCTTCACCAAAGCAAGGAGAGCTTTGCATTTATAAAAAGAAACTTGCAGCAAAAGTTTGTACTTTATTCATGCATGTTTATAAGAGCAAGAGCATGGATTTGGTGTATTGAGAAGAACTGAATAACTAAGTGCCACATACTTGAGTAAAAAAATGTGACCGTTGCAAGATCAGGGTCAGTATGATGGTAAACTACATCATTTTCATCTGATTCAGTCGCAAATTACAAAAAAAAAAACATCAAAAAAAGAAGAATACAGACAAGAAAACACAACATGTATGGTCAGCTATTATGTAACTGTACAATCAGTTGTTGTCATGTAACCTGCCAGTTTGTCAAAATGATGGAAGCTCTTTGATTGGCTAGATCCTGACCAATCAGGGATTTCGAAGCTGTGGCACTTCTCAAAGGATCCATCATGCATTGCAGGATAAATCATCACCCAGAATGCATTGCAGAGATAGCCATCTTGAAATGGAATGGCCTCATAGCTTGACCTTCAGGCTCAGGCTGCCACCCCTATTTTCTGTGAATGGTTTGGCCCAACCTATTGGTAGGATCAAACCAACTCAAGAAAACGGGGTGGAAACATGACGCGGTGAAGTTTTCCTCATTAATTCCAACTATGGGACCATATATTTTGCCTCCAGTTTTGGCTGATTTTTAACGAGAATTTCTTCGTTCATTTTAGACTTATTTCTCTAATCATTCTGTATCTGCTTATAAGCAATGTATTTACCATAGGAAGTAGTGATGTGTACATGCAGTATAGACTAATACATAAAAAGTGCTGAACAGTTGTTGATATCAGCATAGATGGACTCTCTACAGACACTGTGACATACAGTAACATTGCTACTCACAATGTTACAATGAGAGTAGCAAACAGATTTGTCAAACAGATTGAAGACTTCCTTCATACTCATTTTACCCTGTGGGAAACATATACTACTAAGCAGGGCTCCAAAAACCCTATCTCTTGCCAACTCAAAATGTAGCTGGTAACTTTGGAGGGAAACTCATGCATTTGCGTCATATACCTTTTCAATATATAACATGTTGAATGGGCCATTATCATGCCTATTCAGTTGCCTGACTTGAAAAGAAGTCAGGTTTTGAGACCAGGAAGAAACCAAATCCATCAGGCTTCACATGTAATGCCACCAGAAGTCCACAAAGCTTTGCAAGGAAATAACATGGTCTTTGATTAAGTGTGCCAGGGACATTGGCTGCAGAGGAAGAGGTCATTTACAGAGAGTGGGTTGAATGAACTCCCTCACTGGCACTTCTAACAAATTTCTGGCATCACGTGTCCGTAAGATTTTTAACTCGATTGTTCATTTACTTGGCCATGTCATTTAGCCTGGTATCCAAATCTATTATAGCTGCAGAGTCTCTTTCGTCCTCTCTACAAATAGGAAAGGACGAAAGAGACTGGTAGCTACTAGTATAATAGGTTTGCCTACGTACACCAGGCTAACTATCACCATGATAAAAAAAAAAGGCAGTTGTTGTGCAGCCGAAAATTTGGTGCACTAGTACTCACAGTGAGTAACTGAAATATGGTGGATGCCATCTGACTTTTCAGAGATCCAGTTGCTTGACTTATGTTTGGTATTATGCCATGTACTATTACATATTTGCAAGAGCGAAACCCGTACTGTTTAACGGTTGGATTCACAATCTTCGGTTATCTACTCAGAAAAGAGGTACAACTGTTGTCACAGTGTCTGTGGAGAGGTCCATCGTTCTTGACGATTTGTTCTTGGTGTGGAGACTATAATTGAGTAATAAAGGACTTTGGATGTGGTGTAAAACTATACTAGGAAGTATTGCATGTAGAAGGGTGCTGACGCTGTAAGCTAGCTAACTGTACCATGGCTGTGACACGTGATGAGTTGTGTACAAAAGAGAGAATTTGCTGCTTGATGTTTTAATGGTTGATGAAGGCGAGAGATCACCGAGATTCCAAAGTACCAAACTACTGTAGATTTGTTCATTTTTGTGAGACTTGGTAAAGATTTTGGCAGTATATACGAAGAGCTTATTTCCTAGCTCTTTCCCAAATTACTGAATTGACAGCAGTTTGTTAGAGCTGATACCAGATTTTCAGCGATTGCAACTCTTGCATATGTACATGTAAATTGTACCTGATAGAAAATGAACTAAAGAAAGAGAACAAAATAAAATCTTAGTAGCGAAAATTTAAGTCGCAGAAGGTACGTATAAGGAATCTCAGTGACCTGCCGTTGGAAGGTTACACTACACAGACTTGGGTAAAGAGAAACACAGTTAAAGTAAGAGACACAGTGACATTCGACTGTGGATGTTCCCACCACACTACACCAGCCTAACACCTTATGTTTACAGTAAGCAGACACACATGGACTGGTGGATATGTTGAATCTTGCCATTGCTCTGGTGTTCTGACCACTTCCTGTAGCCTCTACCAGGCTTCGAAAGCAGCTGAAAAGAGTAGAAATTGGCCTACTAGCCAGGGAAGTTGGTCTGCTAAAGAGTACAGTTGCCGCGTATATTATTAGCTCATGTAGCTATGTGCACAGTGTGTGACAAACCTAGTCCATAACGAACCAACTCCCCTGGCTATTTGGCAATTTCTACACTTTTCCGGCTGCTTCTGAAGCCTGGTAGAGGCTACACATCCTGCATCATGTGATCCAAACAGGTGACCGTTGCGTTAGAACTCAGTGCCTGTAGTTGTCATCAATGATGAATTGCCACAAAGAGGTGCAATACTAGTATTTCTGCGTCTTCGTGGCATAACAAGGGAAGATCACACACACAGTACCTACACATTTGATGTATACCACAGGCACTGCATTTTGCTGCAATGGCCACCTATATGATCACATGGCGTCAGTGATGGGTTACGGATACTACAAAGAGCCATGTTGAGTACAGTATATCTTGTACTTTATGTTTGTCTGATGTAATGTTACCTACCAGGCTAGGAGTGCTGGAGAGAGCCGACTAGGGACCAGTGCCTACTCACACCATATTTGAATATTTGACCTCCAAAGTGACCCCTCGTAACCTTTGTACTTCAATCTTTAGATGGTGTCTTGTAGTGTTTACCACTCACTGATTGTTTACGTTATGTATTCTCTACAAACAATAATAACAAATGTTTCAAACGTTTGCAACAATGTGCTTGGCGTCTTATTTTGACTATTTACTGTAGCTGTAAGCTATCTGTGATTGCCTTATGTTTGCTTTGGCTGATGCTGTCACCATGGTAACTGGTGCTGTAACAGCCACCCTGTTGGGTTACATTATGTAGCAAGTAGCAGGACAGAGTTTGAGGGGCCGGCCTCTGTATGTATGAATTTGTTTGAGTAAGAATTAACAGAGTAGTAGTTTGTTGAGGTAGACCATCACCATGTGAAGGTTAACATTATGCATCTGCAAATTTTACCTTTCTACTCTGTTCTGTTCTTTTTTTTTTTTTTACAGTAATTAAAAACTGTTCAGTCTTCAAACTTTCTTTTTGATACTTAGAAAACTGCGACATCCTTATACCACCTTGACCCTCTCTGGGACTGGTCAAGCCAATACTTGGAACACGTAACCTCTCAGACACATGGCTACATCAACCATTGCATCACTTGCAGTGTTTGGGATCCACACACCCAGGATCAGGTGGGTCGGATAGAGATGGTGCAGAGACGAGCTGCCCGTTACGTTACCAACAATTACTACCGTACAAGTTCTGTCACCGACATGATTAATAAGCTGGGCTGGCAGTCCTTAGCACACCGAAGGAAGAACGCCAGACTTGCCACATTGTACAAGATAACCAACAATGTTATTTCTGTGCCGCACGCATCTAGAGTTGTCCCGGCGACTCGATGCTCCCGCCGCACCAACCACGCTCTCAAGCTGCAGACCATCGCGAGTAGGAACAACTTTTACAGGCTCTCGTTCTTCCCTCGTACCATCAAAGAGTGGAACGAACTTGAGCCTGGTGTGGCGGAGGCGGGGTCCCTCGCCCAGTTCAAATCTGGACTGGCGAGGACCCTGCTGCATTGAGTCGCCCCTACACGTCTTGTATATATGTATATATATATGTCCTACTAACACACTAAATGCACTGTCTTGTCCTTTACACCAACAGACTCAGTTATTTACGTTCCGTAGTGTCCCCTCCTTTAGTTGCCCTTGTTTTTATTTGTACCGGTCACTTGTTTTGTAATTAACAACATGTGCAGCTGCTAGTAATCCAATGTAATTTGGGCTCAGCAGTACTTAAGATGATGATGATGACTTCTATATGATTTGTCTGGTGCCGAATGGCACACCTGTACTGCTATTTCTGTTGCAGAAAGATATTCATAGTAAAACTACCCTCCCTGTCCTTGGTGCTGAATGGCATTCATGCTAACAATGCCAACCCTGTCGCTGGTGCTGTATGTTACACTTATACTGCTATCTCTATTGCAGAATGATGTTGAAACTAAAAGTGCCCTCCCTGTCCTTGGTGCTAAATGACGTTCACACTAACAATACTGGCGCTGAATGCCATCCACACTAATAATGCCATTCCTGTCCCTGGTACTAAATGACAAAACTATACTGCTATCTCTGCTGCAGAATGGTAGTCATAGTAAAAGTGCCCTCCCTGTCCTTGGTGCTGAATACTTTGGTGCTGAATGGTATTCACACTAACAATGCCATCCTTGTGCTGAATGACACACACTGCTATCTCTATTGCAGAATGATATTGAAACTATAACAGCAATACTCGCATCCAAGCAATTTCTTCTTGCAACCGTTGGAATTGCATGTATGAACTGACTACACATTTATAAATTAGATATGTTGCAAAAGTGGTGTTTCTAGCTAAGATCGACGTCGTCAGCCACGCGATGCACCAGATAATTGACAAGGCTCTTTCCGAGCAAGCAGACGAGAGATGAAGACGCGTCGACGTCCTATACCTTATTAAAGAAACGTACGGACGGTGACCAGAGTATGTTGTCTTTCTATTCAGGCCTTCTTTATTTGTACAGCTGGTATAACCGCCCTTCGGCATAAAACACCAGCTTCTGTATCTGTATAGCCGGTATAACCGCCCTTCGGCGTAACACACCAGCTTCTGTATCAGTATAGCCGGTATAACCGCCCTTCGGCGTAACACACAAGCTTCTGTATCAGTATAGCCGGTATAACCGCCCTTCGGCGTAACACACAAGCTTCTGTATCTGTATAGCCGGTATAACCGCCCTTCGGCGTAACACACAAGCTTCTGTATCTGTATAGCCGGTATAACCGCCCTTCGGCGTACGCGTAACACACAAGCTTCTGTATCAGTATAGCCGGTATAACCGCCCTTCGGCGTAACACACAGGCTTCTGTATCTGTATAGCCGGTATAACCGCCCTTCGGCGTAACACACCAGTCTTGCGTTTATGGAGCTTGCTTCAATGTTCTGGCATGTTGAGAAAAATCGGAATTTTGTGTGTGTGGCTGCGTATGACGGAAAATTTGCAATGTACAATTTGAAGAAACGAGGGCACATAGTCATAGAACTGGGCCCTTCGCTACATATATTCATGCAATTCTCAGATTGGAGTCAATTGAGACAACAGTGAGTACACATCCAGGTCAACAATCCCACTATATTAAAGATTTTTGACTAGACGCTTGTTTTTCGTTCATGTTTGTCTCTAATTTCGTTCGCTAGAGCTACAGGTGCTTTAAAGTCTCAGCGTAGGTGTAAAGCAGTAATTATAAGCTTCTAGGGCATCAGAGGATTTCCTGTACCGGTAACGTAAGCTACCGTGTGCTTTACCTACCTGATTAATCCGTCCACGACATCAAGCTCCCGCCAGATATGTAGGACACGGTTTGGCAGAGCAGACATTGTCATCATGGCGGATGGGCAACAACAACAACAGCCCCAAGCACAAGGAATGGAAGGTAGCGTTTTTGTAGGATTCCGAAACATTTTTCATGTTTAAAAGTACTACACGGGTTCTCTGCCTGTGGTTATTGTCGGTGTGAAATTTGTATCCTCACGCTTGATGCCATAGCGGTACACGTGTGATGGTAAGTCGGCTTTCCTGGAATAGAGAATCAATTATGCAACTTTCCAACGAAAGGGAGTTTTCTTTCCCGGAAAATTCTGATTCGTCATGGTCGTCATATTTTGACGATTCTTTTTGTAGACCAATGTGGAAACCTTTACTTACTCTATCTACAGCGTACTTCATAACAAGAGGAGAGCTCTGAGATATATCTCGTTCTGTTTTGATAACATTGCTACAATCAAGACTTTGCATTTGGATTTGATTTATTAAAACTTAGCAGCTGGTCGCTTCGTGTAAAGTATCACATTGGGATGGTGATAAGAGATTATTACACCATATTTTGTAAGCACATTTACATTTTGTTTCATTCGTTTGCATCCGATTTTAAGATTCAACGTTTCTGAGAAAAGACTCGAGGGTCGCACTTATTTGGGATTGTTTCTCTCCAGTTCCCACTCCCATACAGCAGTCCCAGGCAGATTGGCTGTCACTTGCGGACGCCGCTGCGAACATACCAAACACGATGTACGTCTCCAGCTCTAGAGCAGGTAAGTCACTTTGCAGTTTATATTATCGAATTTCTATTGCAGTATTGCTTTGCTTCTGTCCCCAGGCTACTTTTTATTCATTTATTTTCAGCTTTGTTTCAATACAGTAAACAGGAGTAGCAGCAGGATACATTCATTTTCATGACTTCTGTCCAACTTAGTGCATAAAGTGTGTCGTTATCACGATACAAATCCATCACGACACAGCTAAGAACCTTTGCAATTTTGCTGTGGTTTTGGAAAACAGAGCTATATGGAAGGCTTTTTTTTATTCCAACATTTAATCACCAGACGTGGTGACGACACACTCAAGTTATTTTTCAACTTATATTAATGCCGCCACCAACACAGGGGACAAATACATGACAGGACAATACTCATTTACACCTGAGCTAAGTGAGGAAAGCCGTGTAAAGTGCCTTTCCCAAGGGCACAAAATCGGTGGCATATCAGGACTCGAACCCGGGACTCTAAGTTCCGAGTCGCGCACTCTGCCGCTACTATTTGCGATGTCACTGCCATTTTTTTAAAAATCCACATGTAACAAGTTAGATATATCCGCGTTTGACACTTATTTGATGTTACTGGTATGTAGTCTTGGTGTCACATTTCCTCTTATGCATGCAGACCAAAATTGAAATAGATGAATATTTTTGGTCAACAGACAATATAAACGTGGGTACTGAGAAGACGAAGAGTTTTTGCGTGGAGAACAAACTCTGGCAGATCACAGGCCTTGTGTTTGCAGTGGTAATCGTCATACTGTTGTCCTTCTTTGCAGGCAAGTTTCTTTCGTTCCTTCAGACTTATCAGATAATGACATGAATATTGCACAAAAAGGTTGGATTTAGCAATGATAGTAAATACAATTAATGTTTACATTTGCAGTCGAGGACTTCACATTTACAATTGTAGTAACGTTAACGTTATATACAATCTTTTGTTCTTTCATACAGTGAGAGTCTCTACTTTAACTGAGGAGGTGGTGAGGCTCCGAGCGTGGAAGGGGGAGATTCAGCTTCGAGTTGTCGAGATGGAAAGTAAGCATTAAACCTGCATCTTAAAGTGCACAAACATACATTTTTTCCCGGTGAAAAGTTGTTTTTAAACTGGAAGGCAGCCCGACATGTCTGAAACAATGGAACGATCCTAATCGAACGCATCGAACACGTATCGAACCCTCGACATATTCTATTTCGAAGGAGGAGTTCGAAATAGAATATGTCGGGGGTTCGATGTGTTCGATCCGGATCGGTCTATTAAGATGCCAACAGGGGAGCTGCCGCCCTAGCAGGAATGGTAGTAAAGTACAGTTTGAAGGTTAGAACTGGCGGGAACTGCTATGATTGTCCCATGTTCTGATTGATTTTTTGATTGACTGTACTGTCTCTGTCCTTGGTGCTGAATGAAATTCACACCAACACTGCCATGTACTGTATATGTATGTGCTGATACAAATGGTAGTATATGTATATGTATGTGTTCTGGTACAATTGGTGTATAACGGTATGTATTATGTATGTGCTGGTACTACTTGGTAAATATGTATAATATATATATATGCTGATACAAATTGTCGCATCCAGACTATTTCATGTACATGTAAATAGGTTCACCATACTGTTCAGCGACTTATTCGAATTTTTCCAACATTTGACATGTTTTAAACGATTGTTATGCTTTACGCTATGATCTCTTAAATTTAATTTTTTTCCCAGGAACGTGTGATTTACCTGGCCAATCTGGCCCTGCCGGGCCTCCTGGGCCTCCGGGAGAAAAGGGACCAGCTGGGACAGGGTCTGTCGGGCCCCCTGGACCGCCTGGTGAAAGGGGGCCCATTGGGCCTCCAGGGCCGGTTGGCCCACCTGGACCCCCTGGTTTACCGGGGTCGATAGATCCTCCTGAAATAAAGCCTGAAGCTGTGCGCTGCGAGTTCAACACAACAAGTGAGGCACCCATCATAACATTTTGTGCAAAGGTTTTGTTTATTTGTATGCTTGTTTGTTTGTTTGTTTGTTTGTTTGTTTGCCATAGCGTTAAATTATTTATGTTGTTTATTCGTGAAATACCAAAATTGGTCTGCTGATGCCTGCTGGCCGCTTTTTTTAGAGTCATGTTAGAGGCCAGGGTCAGACATAATACAGGTAGCATGATTGAAGTCCTGAAAAATCCATAAACATATAGTCATAAAATAATCAATAGACATCTGCCGTACGCTTCAGCACAGAATTTATCATACAAAATCAAGTTTAACTTATTTATTTTCGTTCGTCTAGTTTCTATTTTCATAAAAGAAAGCATTGTAAAGTTAGCCCTTGAAGGGGCACCAAGCAAGTACAAAACAATGTATAACCATTTTTTTTTATTCCAACATTACATGACTAGACGTGGTGACAGCACACTCAAGATATATCAACTTGTATTAATGCCGCCACCAACACAGGGGACAATACAATACAATACAATACTCATTTTCACCTGAGTGAAGTGAGGAAAGTCGTGTAAAGTGCCTTTCCCAAGGGCACAAGATCGGTGGCATGTCAGGACTCGAACCAGGGACCTCTTGGTTCCGAGTCGACCGCTCTGCCGCTATGCCACACGATTCCACGTTGACACCTGTTACGTTTTCTTTCTGCAGCATCTTGCCCGGAAGGTTACAAAAAGTGGCGTAAAATCTGCTTCAAGGCGTACAACAACCGTGCAACTTTTACCGAAGCGGCGGCGACCTGTCGCCAGGACGGCGGCACCCTGGCCATGCCCCGAGACGCCGAGACCAACGCCTACCTCACCTCGGTACACAAGGCCATGGCCGTCTACTCCGGTTTGTTTTTGTTATTTGGATTTTCCACAAATTGAAGGGGGGGGGGGCAAAACTCCCTATGTACCTTTACAGGTTGCACGGAGCCATAGCCGCCTACTCAGGTCTGTTTTATTCTTATTTTTTATTTAGTTTTTTAGTCTTCGGACACCTGGGTGGCCTAGTTCAATTTTGACAATTTGATTTTCAATAGGGCCCAGTACAAAATACAATAAAATCAAAGATACAGATAGAAACAAAGACCGATATAAACAAATCAGAATCGTTATCCTTATCTATTCTTGTCATTTCAGGCATCAAAGGCCCATATGCTTACATAACATTAAAAACAGAGGTTATATTCTTACATTACATGAAAAACAGAGAAGCATATATACAGCGATCAATGAGTAAAAAACAGTGAGATTTTGGATTTTACACAAAGTGAAAGGGAAGGCAAAATAGGTGCATACGCAACTTTACAGGTTGCACTTCCCATACAAAATCTCCACAACAAAATATACACAGTCAAAGGCCAGTCTTAGAGATTTTCTACTTTATGACAATTATGTACCATGAAATTATGTATTATGTATAATGTATTTGATAGTTTGGGATGGAATGCGCTGTGCCTGTGTACTTAAGCGAGGGGAATTGATGTGACATTATATTGAACCGAAAATCATCGATATACGATGTTAAGATGTTCACTTTGCACTGAGAAAAAAAGCAATATATTTGTATAGGTTTCTGGATCGGCCTGTCCGATCAAAATGAAGAAGGGGTCTTCGAGTGGGTGGACGGCACGGCGCTTGGAGAGTACAGCTCCTGGGTTCCGGGTGAACCGAACGAGTACGGAGAACACAAGGACTGCGTTCTGCACATGGGGAGGGGCACGTGGAATGACGAGCCCTGCCGCATCCCTGCGCGATTCATCTGCGAAGTCATTCCAGGTGCGTATTACTGAGGATATATATGCCCTTGATAGAGCTGGCTGGAAGTACCTGACAGGGGAGCAAGGGCAAAACCTGGCCTGGGCATATAGGCAGGCAGGTATATGAATGAATGAATGAATGAATGAATGAATGAATGAATGAATGAATGAATGAATGAATGAATGAATGAATGAATGAATGAATGAATGAATGAATGAATGAATGAATGAATGAATGAATGAATGAATAAATAATACATATGGTACAGAGAGTCAAATCAAATCAAAAGGTAACATTGGTAGATACATATTTTATATTATTATGCATCTACTGATCATGACTACTCCAATAAGTAAAACGAAGGTAGCATAAGAGACAGAAAAATAAGGTCATGTGTTGTAGTCTCTACCAGGCTTCAGATGCGACTGGGAAGAGTAGAAACTTTACTCCTTTTGCGGACAAGCTCTGCTGGCTTGTCATTTGTCTATGTGACCACTTTCTACTCCTAGCCGCTTCTAAAGCCTGGTGGAGTATAAACATATTGCACAGCCGTTATTTTATACTGGCTGTGACTAGACTGGTTACCAAATCTATTATAGCTCCCGAGTCCTACAGCCTGCCTCTATTTGCGGAGAGACTGTAGGACTCGGGAGCTATAATAGGTTTGGTAACCAGGCTAGACAGTGACGTCATCAGGTACAGTTTTTTCTTTCTTTACGGTGTTCCATTTTGTTTCAGACGTTACCTGCACCAGGGCGGCGGACCAGACTCTCTCTGTCACTCCATGAATAGATTCATCGACATCGGATCGGAGGGTCACTTGAAAAAAGCGATATGTATATTCATATATACATAAAATACAGGGCCCCACTGAAAAGAAGTGTTACCACTTATAGTGAATTACCCTGGGTAAAATGACGAAAATAGAATAGAAAAAAAATAAATATTTGTCACGCCTCCTGTGTACATGTTGCATTTGTTTAGTTTTATTTGACTGGAGAACGTTTTAATACAATTAGTCTGAGACTTGTGGTTATGAGCTGCAGTGCTTATAATACTTTACTTTGGTTATGGTTTCAGTAAGATATCGATTCGACATAAAATTCAGAATCCACGACTACTTTTGTGAAGACAGTACTTTTAGATGCGTAAATATATTCATATAATGGTTAACAAAATGGCGCCCATGCAAAATTATATCTATGTATACTATTAAAATGAATGTGTGAGGAGGTATCATGGAACCAAATAAAGTATAATGATAAAAATACACGTCATGAACTCTTTTTCTCTCTAGTATTGTTCGCTGATCACTGAGGTAACTTAATGCTTACGCTTTTGACACATTTAACGGAAAAAAGAACATCTTTTTTACAGAAGCAGATAGAAATTAAAACAACAGTAACTCCTATTCGTAGTCGGCTGTTTTCAATATTAAGCAGCTGAAACGATTACGTGTTCATTTGATAAGTCTCGCCTACGCGAGATGTTTCATGTATGCAAATCTTGCGCAATCCGCGGCTGTTTGCTTTAATCTTTCATTTTTAATTCCATTCAGTCGAGGTAAACCTTCTTTGAGTCTTGCGCTATGCATGCACAAACAAGTTATTGTTATTTAGCACCTGCCCGGTGTAGGACGTGTTTTTGCTGTCCAGAAACCTGACAAGTGGCAGCATGTCGGGAGGGCAGCAGCAGTCCCAGACTGGGGACACAGAAGGTAATGTTTTTGTTTGTTTTTTGACATTCCTTAGCACAATGCTTTCCTCAACATAACTATTCACAGCTGGACCAAGAAGTCATGAGTTCGAATCCTAGCTGTTTCGCTGTATTATATACGTCATATGGGGGCCCGCAAGCCCTTTCCGTAGAGCGTAATCTGCCGTTTTAATTCTACGAAGAGCGTAGACGGACCGCTCTAATATATTTGCTTTGAGCGTATTCGGCGTTTTAATTCTACGTAATGCGTTATAGCCTATAAACTTATAGCCACTTGGAATTTATCGTAAAGCGTTTGGGTGTCGGGACCCCCCCCCCCCCTTGCAGGCCCTCTCATATGAGCGACACAGCCAGCCGGGATTCGAACGCATAACATCTGAGTCCAGCTGTGGACAGACTTTGAAGATCGAACAGAACTAGTTATTCCAAAAGCAAAAAGTCGTGGCGTGGCATCGGGTGGTGTAGTGGTTAGAGCAATGGACTATGAAGCGGGGAGACCCGGGTTCGATTCCGAGTTGTACCGGTACATGTCTGAACATGCGCCCCGACGTTGTGCCCTTGGGAAAGGCACTTTACACGACTTTCCTCGCTCCACCCAGGTGTGAATGGGTACCTAACTTCGGTTGGGGAAAGTCGTATTGAGGTCACCTTGTGGCGCCGAATGGCAGCCGCACAGACCCTTGCGACAGTTCCACAAAAATAATTGTGGAACAAATATGTGTATCCTGTGTATTATTTGATTGTTGTAATTGTTGTGATTTGTATTGATTATTCTGTGATACCCTGCATCAATTCAGCCGTATAAAGGCAGCGACTGCACGGGTACTGTTTGTACAATAAAAACCATTTATATTAAAAAGAATTGGGATGACCATAATTTTGTAATTTTTCCGCAGGCGCCACACCCAAGCAGCAGGACCAGACTGATTGGCGGTCCGTTGCGGACGCCGCTGCGAACATAGCAAACACGTTATACGTCTCTAGAGCAGGTAAAAAATAACTTTGCAGATTAATACGTTTCAAAACTCGTTGTTTTGCTTTCATGAATGTTTCTACTAGGCGTACAGCGATCGCTAAGCGCCCGTACAGTGACCAGAATAGGATTGTGTGACTCATGATTTCAATATTCATGATATGATGCAATAAAGGAAATATGATTTAAAAAGACAACAAAATACACAAGACGGCAAAAATTGTTTTATTGTTTTTTATCATTTTTATCTGCCAAATCTTTGGCCACTCGGCAGTTGAAGTAGAAAGGAGATGTTAGCGCTAGCTATGTATGTCCTTTGTAGTTACCCTAATGAGGCTAGAAGATCTGAGGTATGCAGCTTTTTTTTTTAGTTACATCAGCATTAAATGTTTATGTAAAACACGTAGTGGCGAGAGTAAACATAAATCTTCTTTGTCTTAACAGACGTCTACGCATACTATACGCCCGCAGATGTGAAGAAGTGTTGGCGCCTTCGCAACAAACTATGGCAGATCACAGGCCTTCTGTTCGCTTTGGCGATCGTCATTCTGTTGTCTTTCTTTTCCGGTAAGTTTCTTAAGTACTTGCCGAATAGCGCACGCATTATTCATAAGGAATATTTCGAGAATACGTTTACAAACTTTAATTGCAATGTTGTTGAGTTGCAAGGTTTAAAAACAATTACTTGAAAAACTTTAAAATGGCACAGAGTTATATGCATATAAGACATGTATAATAGAAATAAATTTAACTTGTTATTGTAGTGTTCACTCATTGCTGAAGTACATTGTACATGTTTTATCAGAAATTAATGCTTATGCTTAACATTTAAGAACAAAAATGATTATTTTAAAAGCAAAGAAAGATCAATACAACAGTAACTCCTTTGTACCCCACTGTTTTTAATATTAAGCAGCTGAAACGATTACGTGTTCCTTTGATAAGTCTCGCCTACGCGAGCTGTTCTCATGTTTGCAAATCGTGCAATCTGCTTGCCTACTTTCATCTTTTACTTATAATTTCATTTAGTCCATGTAAAACTGTAAAAAGAAATTACTTGAAAAAAACTTGATAATACTGGCACAGAGTTACATGCATAAGACGCCAATGACAATTTTTTTCTCTCCTATTATATAGGCAAAGCTGCCTATCAGTCTGCAGAAACGGCAAAGCAGCTCGAGGATATGAAGCAGCGACTAGCCGAGATGAAACGTTAGTATATAGCATCTCTATCATATCAGAGAACTGTTATACACTACTTTTATGTACTTTCGTAGTTGTGCAGTTGTGTGTATTTTAATCATATAACTCTTGTATGCTCATGTGTGCAAAGGAACCTAATGCTTACTTTCATCAATATTTATACATCCAATATATGTTTGTGATCCGTAAATAGTTTCATCAGGTTGGTAAACGAATGAATAGCACTGTTCTTTGATCACAACCATTTATTTTTACACGAACTGACGTTTTGATGACCGTCTGTAATCTTCATCAGGGCAATTCTGACTGGTTTACTGTGCACTAAGTAACATCTATCGTCGGTGCACAGTAAACCAGTCAGAATTGCCCAGATGAAGATGACAGACGGTCATCGAAACGTCGGCTATATATAGCGCTAGTGAAACATAAATGGTTGTTATCAAAGAACTTTGCTATTCATATGTTTGTAATGTTTCTAATTCAAATTCCTAATATTCTAATCTCCTGTAATACTGTGATCAAATCTATTTTCCAGAGACATGTGTTTCCTCCGGGCCTCCTGGGCCACCTGGCCCACCGGGAGAGAAGGGGGCCAGTGGCCCAATTGGTCCTCGTGGAGAAAATGGGCCCATTGGGCCAGTTGGCCCTGCGTCTGCTGGGCCTCCTGGCCCACCTGGCCCACCAGGAAAGAAGGGAGGCACTGGGCCACCTGGCCCTGTGTCTACCGGTCCTCCTGGGCCACCTGGCCCTCCAGGCAAAAATGCGGCCATTGGGCCAGTTGGCCCTGCGTCTGTCGGGCCTCCTGGGCCACCTGGCCGACCTGGAAAGAAGGGGGCCACTGGACCAGTTGGCCCCGCATCTGCTGGGCCTCCTGGCCGTCCAGGAGAGAAGGGAGCTACTGGGCTAACTGGTCCTCGGGGACCAAAGGGATCCCCTGGCTTCCAAGGGCCACCCGGACGCCCGGGACAAAAGGGTGAAATGGGACCAACTGGCCGTGGGCCTCGAGGGCCAACGCCATGCTGCGGCAGTGGAGGTTTGGAATCAATTTTTCTTAATTGACTAAGCACAGATTGACATGACATTTGGCTGTTTTATGACTCACCTTTCTACTTAGTTACTGTTGTTTTTTTGTCTTATTCCATTTGATGCATTTTTAGGGCCCAAATAGGAGATAAACACTTACACAAACAAGTAATCACAAACATACCTTTAACTAAGAAGCTATTCATATTGTATATAGGACGTAATTCGGGCTAACCAGGTTTGCGAGTTCCTTTCTTAATACACTTGAACTTCAAACTTGATTATGTTGGTGCTGGAATAGGAACCATCTTAATATCGTTTTCCTTCTCCTTAAAACTGTTTTAACACAATACATTTTCCCTCAGCTTGTCCCAAAGGTTATAAGAAGTTCCGTGAAACCTGCTACAAGGCTTTCCTCACTCCTGCCAGCTTCGACGGAGCGAGCGAGATCTGTCGTCGAGATGGCGGCACCCTCGCCATGCCCAAAGACGCTGAGACCAACGCTTTCGTGGATTCCCTGCATAAGGCGACTGGCTCTAAAGCTTTTTTCAGGTTCGGCCTCTCCGATCGGCGCAAGGAAGGAGCGTTTGAGTGGGTGGACGGCACTCCCCTTCGGGGGTTCACCTCGTGGTCTCCGGGAGAGCCAGCCAAGAATAACTGGGGTCAAAACTGCGTTCATTACTACGGAAAAGGCAACTGGAACGACGAAATGTGCGATTTCCAAGTTAACTTCATTTGCCAAGTTACCCCAGGTACCATAAGCCAAAGATCATTTGAACAAATCTAAAAGAATCACTTCATTCTAGAATGACTGTATTCTTTCACGTTTAAAGGCAATGTTTCAACCATTGTTCCCACGAGGACTATATCAGTCAGGACATGCATACACATTTCATTGACGGCGACTTTGTTGTTTCTGTTACAGGGCGTACCTAGGGAACATGGCTGAGCGCTCACCGCCGCTGTTCTCCGATGATTCTCAGACTGTAAAGCTGGACTTGAAGGTAGAATACTTAGCAATGACACGCCTAAGTTGACTAACTATCAATATGAGTGTCTATATTACTTAAACTGTGTTCCAACATATCATTTTGTAACCATGGGAGATAGGCCGCTGAACTTTTGTTTTTGAAATCGCCGTACATGTTACTTTGTACTTTAACAACTTCATATGTGTGGCGTCGTGTGGTGTAGTGGTACATCACTGGACTATGAAACGGGGAGACCCGGGTTCGATTCCGGGTCGTACCCGAACAAGTCCGAACATGCGCCCCGACGTTGTACCCTTGGGAAAGGTACTTTACACGACTTTCCTCACTTCACTCAGGTGAAAATGAGTACCTAGCTTCGGCTAGGGACGTCCCTCGGATAGGACGTTAAATGGAGGTCCCGTGTTTGGGGGAGCCACAACCCACGCACGTTAAAGAACCCACCACACTTATCGAAAAGAGTAGGGGACCTTCCCGGTGTGAGTGGTTCAAACATTACAGTCTGGTCTCAGGTTTGACATCTTTGAAAAGGTGATAGTCACCTGTTATGTCAATCCTTCCACAAATGTGGTAAATCGTCATAAAATAAAAAAATAAAAATAAAACATAAATGTTATGAATAATCAAGTGCACTTAAAGGATTTTCCTGTCAACTAGTTTCTTCAATCGAAATGCTCATTAGCATGAAATAATAAAACCCTTTGTGATAGTGATAATGCAATAGTAATGTAAATGACGGAAGGAGGCCGATGATGATGAATGTAAATGTAATAGTAAAATATCATTAACAATGAGTACAAATTTGGTACAAATTTATGGAATTTTGTAGGAGGTTTGTCCTATTCTAAAAGTACATTGTAAATTGATGGTTGAAACCGGGTGCATAATGCATATGCTCCTCTATTAGCCATAGCCATTTGCAAATTCTGAGCAAGATAAATGCACCACTTGTACATGTGCATTTTATCCAACAATTCATTATAATTCATGTAAATATTCTGAAACCTTAGGGGCTGTGTTTGAGGCAGATTGTGGCCCACTTCTTTGAAATACAAAATGTCTAAATTCATAACAAGCAACAATGTGGATATTCTTAGAATTGAAATGAGAAAGGGAATTGTAATGTAGAATGAATTGTTGTATACTTCAGTGACTAGTGAGTTTGAATTCTTTTAATTGGAAGCCACGTTTTTCTGTAAGAAGAAGTATTAAAAAACTCAAATAACAAATCCTTAACTACTATAATCACTATATTAACTCTAATATATTAAGTACTATTACTATTAATAATAATATTACTATATTATTATAATTACTATATAATTACACAACGATGTTTCAGATGCAATATCAGTGCACCAGAAAATATGTGCAAAAGGGAGTTGGAACAAATAAAGGAATTTCGATTGGATGTTTTTCGTTGAGTAGTTCCTTCATTCTGACTGGCTGGCTGATTTTCAATAGAGTCCAATATAAATACTTACTGTGTCATCACCACATGTTTTGATTACATGGAATAAAAACATGCTTAATAAGATACACCTAAATCTGACCTCCCGTGACTCACGTCGAAAGCGGGCACTTTAGGCCATGTTGATTTGATTATATGGATGACATCCTCCGGGAGCCCCAAAACTGATGCGCGCGTGCGAATTAAAAAAAGTTTTGAAAAAAAAAAGTTCTTTTCATTATGAAATCTACGTGGTCATGAGGGTTGAGCAAATGGCACAGAATGTGGTTTGGCGAATAATCTAGTCTTCAAGTTCATTTCTTTACAATTTCGTCTTTTTTCGTTTGATTTTGGCATTCTACGACATTGGTATAGTTTTTATTAATTTTTTTTTTTGTAACTTATGGTATATTTTTGCTCATTTTGCAACTGTTTTGTACGATTTACAGTATGGTTGAAAACTTTTTTTTTTAACGGCCGAAAATTCATGCGCGCGCGGATGTCATCCATATAATCAAATCATCAAAATCAAAATCAACGTTACTTTGCAGCGTACAGATTGCATTTGTTAATTCGTATTTGTCTGGAGAACGTTTCAACACACTCAGCCTGAGACTTGTAGATATGAGTGCGTATTCCTATAATACTGTCTTCTGTTGTGGTTTTAGTAAAATATCAATTCAACAAAACATTCAGAAGCCATGTTTAGTTGTAAGAAGACAATACTCTACGTTTCCTTTGATAAGATATACCGTAAGTCAGAATTTTGCCTGTTGCCGGACAATATCTTTTCCTACATAACATTTGACGGACATGTTTTCATTGTATGGGCATTAGAGATTATGTAAATATACCCAGCGCTTGGATGTGTGCGTGGCCCAACCCTCGTCATGTTTCACTCGGCAGGTGATCGTGAGGACACCTGATCCGAGGTTACCCGTAGGAGGTCCCGAAATCCAGTAATCCCCCTTTGTTTATCCAAGGACATTCTATCATGAGGACAGCCTCTTGGTTTGTCTTAGACTGAGGCGACAGCATGTATCCTAAGTAATGAACTACTCTAAACACGTCAAAACATGCTTCACAAAAGTTTTAGTGCACTGTGCATTCAAAGAGGAAAGCAAGTACAGAATCAACTAATAACTAAGAAACAGGAAGGTCAGAAAACGGGGAAGTTGAAATATCGATCAGGCTAATGCATTGACTCTGTATATAGCTTAATCTCCTAAGCTTATGAAGGCACTCACGTGGTACGCTTAGGGGTTTAATTTCACGTGTGTGTGAAAATGAGATCTTGTTCTTATTGGGTGTGGCCGATTGTCTAATACGGTTGTCTTGACGATACCATATGGGGTATAGGAGTTGCACATGATCGTAGCTTGTTGCTGTAACTCTCCATCTAATGCCGTGCCGTTTCGTTGGCCCATTGGGGGTCTGTGTCCATGCACCTGTATCTGTATACCCTGTGTAACTGCCCTTCTACGTAACACGCCAGCTTCGCAGGCACGCGGAGTGGCAGTAACTGTATAGCCGGTATAACCGCCCTTCGGCGTAACACACCAGCTTCTGTATCTGTATAGCCGGTATAGCCGCCCTTCGTAACACACCAGCTTCGCAGGCACGCGGCGTGGCGGCAGCTGGCTATATTACACCAAACTTGCAGGTGAGTCTATAAACCCGATTAATTATATTGCATGGCCCGCCGTTGTTTTTAGCGGTCCAGTGGGAATACACATGCTATACTGAATAATTGATCATCACAAATAGATAAATAAGTTCCTGGCATGGTTCTCTCCTCAGCTACAGATCATACAGGTGGTGTAGCCTCTACCAGGCTTCGGGAGGCGGATGGAAAGAGTATAAATTGCACAGATAGATAGATAACATGTCAGATGAGTTGGTACGCTAGTGAGTACAATTTTAATAATACCGCACCCTGGTAACTATACTCTCCAGCTGACCAACTCAAACTGTCCTAGAATGTTATTTATTTATTTTTTATTTTTTTTATTTATTTTATTTATTTATCCAGGATATACATGTCGCCTGTATGGCGGTTTTCAAAGATTCCTGGGGGGATAACCCCAACATAAAATTACATTACATAATAATTAAGATAAAAGAAGAACTAACACAGGTCAATTAAAATAGATAAACTCATCGTGAACAAAACGAAAATCGTAGCTAACTCATTATACAACCAAAATGAAACAAGGCAGCATAGAAGCAATCATAATCATTCAGTTATCAAATCATAATGATAGGTCAAAAGGTTTGTCAACCAAAAGTAGATAATTAACCAAAAGTGGAGTTAGCTAATCAAAGTAACGAAATATGATTAATCAAATCAAATCAAATAATATAGAAGTAACGTAACTCTATATAGAGAAGTAACGTTATCTCTACATTTGGCCAATTTCTACTCTTTCCAGCTGCCTCCCGAAGCCTAAAGCTAATGGATGTTAATGGTCGCGGTTTTGAGTTTGAGTTTGAGTTTATTTAGATCCACAATTAGCTTAACAATTCATATTGCAGCTATTCTTCCTGTGGTCAATTAACATATACACCTGACACACATAAAATAACTTATACAGACATAAACATGTACAGAAACTCCACAAAAACACCAAGTGACAGAAACAAAGCTAGCTTACATGACCGCCATATATCTAAAATACCTATTTTACATTTCTCCAAAAGTTATTGCACATTGTTCCATGCCTCTACAATTTCATAGTGTTCCAGGTGTGTGACATCCGATACAAAAAGCGTTTTCTCTGAGCATTTGTTCTAGGTTTGGGGAGACGGATAGTTTGTGACTTTGTTGATCTGGTTTGGTATCCATGTGACTGAAACGTGATCTGTTTATACAGGGAAACAGGCTGTCTGTTCTCCATCATTTTGCGAAAAGTCAAAAGGTCTTTCTGTTGAATCCTCTCTTTCACGGGCAACCACCCCAACATCTGCAGCAAAGCGTCCTTGCTTGTGGATCTGTTGCATCCGAGGGCAAGCCTCGCAGCTCTTTGCCCCCAGTGTGTCAGATTTTCCTGGCTAGCTTGGCCCTAGCTACTGTGGAAAAGGTAATATGAGACATTGGTCCTTTATGCATATACATGTACATGCACTGCCAGTGGGGTGAAAAGATGGTGTTTACTCGGTTGCTTTACCGACCCTATTGAAAAGCATTAGACCGTGGCAGTAACAGGAGAACGCTACCGTGGGTCTGAGGGTATAGAGAGGGCGGTTTGTCTTCATTTTTTTCAGACAAAACTAGACGACACGTTCTCGGTGAGGTAATGTCGTGAACCAGTTGTACCACAGTCGTGTTGTGTCTGCTGTGACAGGGAGAGAATTTAACACGTGAAAGGTAGGTTTGACTTTCATACTGTCGTTAGTCAGGTCACTTTTGTCGCAAGTTGTCGCACAGGTGTCGCAGTGTCTTCATCAGACACACAGTGACACAAACAACCACCGGTAATGACCTAGGCAGCTTTATCCGTAACAATCTAGCTGAACATGTGTATGACTCTCCCAAGAATGTACGTATGTTGCAATTAGCCTTCACCAGGCCTTTCTATGGGAATACAGATCGTAGAATTCGGCAAAAAAGCGAGTAAAATTGGCCAGGGGAGCCCGGCCACGGGGAGGTAGTTTCTTTCCCTCCGACTGCGGCCAGTCAAACCTAGTCTCCACCAGATTCCTTTTGCAGGATGATAAATAGCAGAAATTGGCATAAAAAGGCAATATCATGGGCAGAGGAGATGGAGATTCTATGGCGGCCATCTTCTCTGGCCAATGATATTCCCTTTCAGGCCAATTTCTACTATTAATCAGTCTGCAAAAGGAGTCTGGTGGGGACTATACAGCTTTTTAGCCCACAGCAAGAGAGCTGAACAAGTGCAAGACAATCTCAAGAATGTTGCCTCATGTTGAATCGAGCGTGAACTTTGTGAACGTTGCCTTTAGTTCCTCTATTTCCAAAGTTTTCGCTAGGAAGTCTCCACCCTTCCAAGTGTTGTTTTTCATCGATCGTGAGGAATGTCCAACTTTCTTTGTTCCGCGTTCAGAAAAACAACCATACGGTCTGACTATATTTTCGTCAGTCCAACCTCGTACTGTGTGTCAACGCCTTTGCCTTGCCCGTTGTTAGGGGTGATTTTCGGTCCCTTTGTATGATATTGACTTTATCATCGGACCAAAACAGTTGTGAAACCCATACACCTTGTACTTTGAACTTGCAGTACTTTGAACTTGGACCAGCAATGTCATGACGGGGAACAATGGGTACACCTAGCCTCCTTCGCAGACTTGTTGGACGGTTTCGTTGGGCAGCGGCAAAACTCTCTCCGGTGAAAATGAGTATTGTATTGTCCCCTGTGTTTGTAACCATTGGTTGGTTGGCTAATGGTTTAGCCTCCACAACATGCCAAAAACTGGGGGTTTGGGGGGTCTTCATGGTCTTTGGAAGCTTTTATGTACTACTTTCTGATTGCACATAGACAACATAGCCGGCTAATCAGAAAACAGCCGAAGACCACCAAACCCCCAGTTCTATAAGCCTGCTACGGAGGCTACTAATGTAAGAATGGTTTATTTAATGGTTACAGTCTGGCCAAAGGATAACTATATACCACACCTAGGCTTGGATCAGATGAGGAACCCTGTCTGGGTATAGTAAGTGAGTATTCTTCCACCTTTCTGTTCCTGTTCCTCTATTTTTATCTTTGGCAATCAACCATCGGATGAGATTTCGTTACGACCTTAGCTAGGGTCATTCTGGGTTAGTCGTATAGTACTATTACTCTCCAAGTAATACAAGTTCCTACAAGACACTAGCATTCCACAAGGATTGCTATAGGTATTCGTATTTCCCAAGGACTGTAAGAGACTGGAACGAGCTTCCGCAGGCCCTACCAGAAATCCCAGAGGCCGACAAGTTTAAGGAAACTGCTCTGCTACACTTGAGGAGTATTTAGAGCGCTGCGCCCCCCCCCCCCCCCTGCGTGTTTGACCCCAACCGAGGGGTGTTACGCAGTACCGTATCAAGATCAAGTAAAGGGTGTGGGCCCCGACGTATTTTTAAGCGTTTTAACGGCTTTCTACGATTTAATCAGTCTGCAAAGGAGTCTGCTGCATGGAGACAAAGTCTATGTATCCATGACGCTTCCCTTATTTGACAGCTCTAGAGCAGACAACAATAGAAATCAAAACAGTTCGGCTTACGTTAAGGTTGATTTAAATCGGGAAATGGGGACACAACTACTGAAAGAGATCGGTAGCAGCCAGCCTCGTTATATTTGTGAACGGCGTGTTTTCTTCCAGTCAGGCTGAACGGAGTAATTGGAGGGCACTTAGACCACTGTTTGAAGGGGTTTGTAAGAACATTGCCATATTGTGTACTGCACCTGTTTCCTTACCCCACTGCCAAAGTAGCAACGCTAGATTGTATTTGCCTAGTAACTTCATTTCCGAGGGAGTCAAGTGCGTGCTTTAATTCTTGCGGGAAAAATGGTATTTACAAAGCAGTGTAACAAGATTGGCAATGTTTGGTTAACACACAGTGAACCTCCTAAAACAGCCACTACCAGCTTTACCTGGCAAAACATCAATTGTAAGTCACTTTTCATACAGTGTACTAGTAGTATCTGTATTCCTGTGTGTGTGTGTGTGTGTGTGTGTGTGCATATGTGTGTGTGTATGTGTGTGTGTGTGTGTGTGTGTGTGTGTGTTGTGTATGTGTGTGTGTGTGTGTGTGTGTGTGTGTGTTTGTGTGTGTGTGTGTGTGTGTGTGTGTGTGTGTGTGTGTGTGTGTGTGTGTGTGTGTGTGTGTGTGTGTGTGTGTTTGTGTGTGTGTGTGTTTGTGTGTGTGTTTGTGTGTGTGTCTGCAAAGCACGGTATAGGTAGAGGCAGTGACGCCTACCATCATCAGTGTTGCCTGTTTTCAGTTTCACAGATTTTGAAAATCTATCCAGTTGCTTAAGTAACAGTTTTCCCATGTACGTTTCTCATGACCTGGATATGTCTAATTAATCTTCATCGACGTCGCCTTGTTTTAATTCTGAAAAGAGTACACCTTTGTAGACTGGACTGCATACTTAAAGAAGCATGTTTTCGTATTTTACAGGATAGCCGACAGCACCAGTCAACATGGTTCGCGTTAGGTTGAAGCTTATGGTGAAGACTATTTTCACCTTGTGCCTCGTAGGAGGATGTCTCAAAATCCTCACTCTAGATCTGAAGAGAAAGATTAAGAAAGCCTTTCCCAAGGTGTGCAAAAAGGACAACAGTACAGCGTCCAACTATACCGTTGACGGTAGCAATCCACATGACTACAAGTTTCTACTCAACAACCCGGAGAAATGTGCTGGGAGCGACGTGTTTCTTCTGATAATGGTGACGTCGGCGCCGAAGAACCATGCTCAAAGGTTCGCCATCAGGAGAACATGGGGGAACGAGAACAACATCGAAGGTGTCGTCATCAAAACGGTCTTTGCCGTCGGTATGGCGTCAAACGCTTCGAATCCCATCCAGGCCGACCTGGAGCAAGAAAACAGAGTCCACAAGGACCTCATCCAGGAAGACTTCGTGGACTCTTACCGAAACTTGACCCTCAAAACCGTCATGTGTCTTAAGTGGGCTTCAGAGTTCTGCCCCGGCGCCAAATTCGTCTTAAAGGCCGACGACGACACCTTTGTCAACATCTTCAACTTAGTAAGACATCTTGGACGTCTGAATGCCACGCAGGCAAAGAGATTCGTGACAGGGAGAGTGTATACAGGCGGGAAGCCTGTGAGGATAGCGCGCGACCCGACTGAGGAGCGGTGGTGCCTGGCACGGGAGGACTTCCCTAGAGAGACGTTCCCGCGCTACCCTGGCGGATACGCCTACGTCATTTCCGGCGACATCACTCGAATGGTATACGAAGTATCCCTAACCGTACAGTACTTGTTTATAGAAGACGTGTACTTGGGGCTATGCCTGGAGAAACTAGGGATTGAACCGGTGTACGAGGATGGGTTCGTGTTTTGGAGAGAAGCACACTCCTGTGATTTTGATAAAAACTTCAACATGGCGTCTCACAGGTTCAAAACTCCTGACGCCATGCTTGGGGCGTGGGAAGGTTTGCTCAGCAAGTGTAGAACGGTTAAACCCTTACTGGCGACCACCCCTACATTACGACCACCTGGCCATTGATATACATGTAGTTAAATCTGTAGTGACCGCGTCTACATAAGGACCACATGGTCATCGATATACAGTCAAACCTGTACTGGCGACCACCTGTACATAAGGACCACCTGACCATAGATATACTGTTAAACCTGTACTAGTGACCATCTCTACATAAAGACCACCTGGCCACTGATACAGAGTCAAACCTGTAATAGTGACCACCTCTACATAAGGACATAGTCAAACCTGTACTAGTGACGACTTCAATGTTAGGACCACCTGGCCACTGATATACAGTCAAACCTGTACTAGTGACCACATTGAACGGTCACTACAGACGAGTTTGGCTTCAATCCTTTCCAATTTAGTAAGGAGAATATAGCACAAACTTTTACACTACATGTGTTTAGAGTTAAAACTTTTTATCCAACACAAAGAGGTTCTTTAATCTAGAGCTGTCTGGTCTTCCTCAGTAGACTGACCCAGTGAGGCTTGTCATGTGACTTCTGTGTATAGTGTGACATCAAAACTGGGTTATACGTGTAGCATAAAAAAATATCCAGGGAAAAAGATTCTGTGCCATTCTTCCATGGACAATGACCATATTTGGCATTATGCTTCTCAGCCTGTGGCTTGGTAAATGACTTGCGTAATCAATTGTCGAAAACTCTTGTATACTTTCAGAACTTGGTTTTAAACAAGAAAACAGACACATTGTAGACAACAGATTCTATATTTATACTGCTGTTGCAAGGCAAGCAAATGTAACAAAGGATCACCCCCATCACCCCTGTTCCAGGAATAGACCCTTCCACTCCTGGATGACAGTTGCAGAAATATGGCTGGTTCCATTGTACAGCAGGGGGTGTCAGGGTAAATAAAGACCATGTCGATGTGTGTACACTGTCGCTACGCTATAGTATATCCGGTATAGAAATTGCCTCTTTTTTATTTGGTAATTATACAAGTGTGTCTGTGTATTCAACATATACATGTACATAGTTTCCAACTGTCTGATGGTGTAGCCATGGGATATACCACGTCTTCAGATAGGGGGGTGCAGGCTCACGTTTAAAACCTCCCTCTCTTATATCTGCAACCCCTTTCCATGTGTATCTAAGGACTAACTATGTAACTGATTGTAACTCCCCCTCCCCAAAAATGAACATCATACTCGGTTAAAGTCTGATACAAACTTATTCAGGAACAAACAAGATGATGTTCCCCTTCTTCTTCTTCGATTTCTGCTCTTCTGCCATGCACAGAAATTCAGCTACAATTTTTTTTAAACCTTTCTTCACACATCCTTCCCCCCCCCTTCCAAAAAAAAATCATACCAAAATTGGCTAAACCCGTCCAGCCCCCCTCCCCCACCCTAATATCTCCAGTCCGGTACCCTCTCTAGGCGACGTATGTGTACACTTTCCTGTAAAACAGAAATAAACAACGATGAGAACATGCATTCAAACACACGAGGCCACACTGACTTACTCTTATGGACGACATCCTCTGAAGACCCCCAAATTAATGTGCATAGGTGAATAAAAAAAAATCTCCGGCAAAAAAAAATGCCGCTAAATCACAGGAATACAAAGCTGGTATTGTGAATTTGCAGTAGTACATAGTGACTTATTTAACACACTCTGGCCTTTTGCGGCATTTCTTAGTCAGCATCAGCACTGTACGAAAATCAAGGCGCATGCAGATGTCATCCATAAAATCAACTCAGTGTGGTCTTATAATAGTTATATGATACAACATAAATCAAGCAAAAGGATAAATTCAGATGTTTTGGATAGCATCCAAAATCTTTCACCAACAACTTAGAATGAGTCAATATGTGTACTGTTGATCTAATGCAAGTAAATTTTTGTATCTCACCTATCCTCTGGAGCTCTAGCCAGGTACTCTCTCTCGATCAAACCTTCCATTCTCTTCTTGATGACCACCGGACTCGGTAGGAACCGCGCCTTCAATTGTTGAGTTACCTGGAAAAGAAAAACATTTAATTGCAGTTTACCACCCTGTCAAATTGTTTAGGTGCAGATTCCAGACTGTACACCTGTAGTAATTTTCTTCAGTGTGTGTGTGTATGTGTACATGTGTAGTGTGTGCATGTGTGTATGTGTGAGTGCACACGTATCTGTGAGTTGGAGCACGTGTATGTGTGTGCACATGCGTATGTGTGTGTGTGTGTGTGTGTGTGTACGTGTATGTGCGTCAGTGCACATGTATCTGTGTGTGTGTGTGTTTGTGTATCTGTATCTGCATAGCCGGTATAACTGACCTATGGCATAATACACTAGCCGTACACCTACTCTCACCTCTCGAATAAAAGTACCCCCTGGAATAGAAGTACCCCCCGGACAAATCTTCAAAATCTAATAAAAGTACCCCCTGGAATAAAAGTACCCCCCGGAAAATTTAAAAATTGACATGTAAGCAACGTCTATGCTCCAAAAATGTGTTCTCATGGTGTATATATATATATGTGTACGTCTGTATGACCTTGTCACTTGCAATTATTGACAGGTCCTGAATAAACATACCCCCTTGAATATGATTCCCCCAACAAATCTTCAAAACTTTATAAATATCAGGGATCTCCCCAGAAATTCAGAACAGGGTGGAGGAGGGTGGTCTGGAAACCCCCCCTCCATGGGGGGAAGCTATTGCATTTTGTCTTTTCCAAACACAAATGGAGGTCATTTCCTGCAACTTCAGTTCTACATTTTCTGTACAATTGCAGATGTATAAGGCAGGAGAAAGGTTCAAGATTAAAAAAAAGTTCTATTAGCACCCTAATTTTGAAAAATTGGGCATAGGTTCCCCGGATGACCCCTAACCGGGGGCCACCGGTGCTTCCACAAGATCAACAAGTGAAAAATACATGATACAAACTGTACATGTATCTACTACCTGGAACTTGGAGCAAGTTATTCCAAAGATGTACTTACTGACATTAATAAAAGTATATTAAAAACTAAACCAAATCCTATTTCCCAAACAAATCACATATTGACACAGCTGAACAAATAAAAATGTGATCATGTCTATAAACTCCACTCAAAAACAATTTTTGAGAGACACTCGGGTACTAAGCGTGATAATCTCTAATATCTCATCTGATTCTCCCAATGTAAAGGATCTTTACAATCACAGCATCCAACCGCACATACATAGAAACAACAATATTACACAAGAAACCAATAAATTCGGAAAATTTCTCAGTAATGTTTGAAAATTATTCTTATTAAAATATAAGTGAATTTTTATTTCAGTTGTAGCCGAAAAATATTTTTCATGCGTTTAAAGTATCGTTTTAGCACTGTAATATGTACTTAGTACATGTTTCATACATTTGGATGCTATCTTGACCTTTGACCACTGTTATTGTAAAAGCAGGTCGGCCATTTTGTCTTTCTCGCCGTGGCTTTTCGAGCCGTTTTTTCGAGCAAATTTCAACCATTTTAAACATTTTACGGCCTCAAAAACTCATACAACGAGGAAAACAAGTTGTAGTTGTTATTTTCATGCGTAACATTTCTTCTGGGGATGGTTTATTTTTCCGCCGAGCTGCCGAAAACTAGCGTCAAACCGCAACCATGCGGTTTCTTCGCGGCGGCCGGCGGGAGTTTTTGTATCGGAGCTTTCACGATGTAAACAAAGATAGTCGGAGTTGTTTATCTGAAAATTTTGTTGTGAAACGCCAGCGGGGTGTCAGATTTTCTACTAATGACAACGTTTTCTTTGTGGCGTCATGGCGAGATCGACAATTCATCGACAATTCACAGGAATTTGTGCCGACAATGGAATGAATTTTCCCGGAACTTTTCCGATTTTGAAAAAAGAAATAAACGTACCGTCTAAAATAAGAATGTACCGGGTGGATTTTGAGGCGGAAAAAAATAAACGTCCCGGTACGTCTATTAAAGAGTTCAGAGTATGCTTGAAGACTACCATGATTCGAACAATTGCGTGTGATAACTGTTAGAACCCTGTGTGATACTGCTAGTTATTTGATCTATGACTCCTCACCTCTGCTACCAGAACGTTGTGCTGCATCCTCTTGCGAGACTTCATGATTCGAACACTACCGTGTGATAACCGTTAGAACCCTGTGTGATATGGCTAGTTATTACATGGGCTAGTTATCCCATGGGCCTTATCTACGACTAGAAAGGCCGACATTTGCTCGGGAGCAAATGAAGCAAATGGCTTTACCACATCCTCTGTACCAAAAATGGACATATCCCCTTGGATTGTTTTTACATCACTCCTGTCCAAAATGTGAAGTGTTCCAATAGTCTATACCCCTATGCAGCAATGGCATCTTCCAATGCCTTCTGCTGTTGAAACATGTATAACTAGTGTTCTACTCAGAACTGTCAGTTGGGTTTTCAAGCTGCAATCACTGTTTTTACTCAAAGTAAGGTAAAATAAAACGTACCTCTGCTACCAGAACGTTGTGCTGCATCCTCTTGCGAGACTTCATGATTCGAACAATGGCCGCCTCGATCTCGTGTTTCCGGTCCTCGTCCACCCTGTTCCTCGTCTCCTTACGCTCCGGGTCCGACTCACCCTTCGCTGCCACTGAAGCAAGAAAACAACAACAGTCAGAAACAACGCAATACAATCCAACCTGACCAGTAGCTAGATAGTAATCTCCAAGCAGATTACATGGTGGCAAGGCAGTATCCAATGGCAAGAGGAGTGTCCATTAGCCACCAATGGATACTGTCTGGCCTCTGGCCAATTTGGTACTGTCTTTTGCGGCCACCAAAAAATCTGCTTGAAGACTAGCCAGATGGTCCTTATGAAGAAGTGAGCACTGATGCAAGTTTGACCATAAGACTCTGAACCATGTATGAATCATGCATCTGCTACTGTTGCTAACTCTTCATACATTCTACTGGACAAGGTAGACAGGCTACTATATATAATTCATTGTAGTTGTTGTAATAGTGGGGACTTTACCCATACAACAAAGACTGTGCCTTCTTGTCACAAACATTGGAAAAGAGCTATTTAGTGACCCTGAACCTACAGATCACAATATGTCCTACCTGTCTGAATCTTGACCCTGTGCAGTTTGGATGTGAAGCTTACCTGTCTGAATCTTGACCCTGTGCAGTTTGGATGTGAACTGTACCTGTCTGAATCTTGACCCTGTGCAGTTTAGATGTGAACTGTACCTGTCTGAATCTTGACCCTGTGCAGTTTGGATGTGAACTGGTCGTTGATGTAGAACTGGTGTGAAGGCTCGATCTCCTTCACCTTGGGCTCCTTGACAAGGACGCGCTGCTGAGACTTCCCGAGGGCCAGCGACTGCAGCGCTCGCGTCAGGTCTCGGTCAGGGATGTCTGTTTCACTCTGGATTTCCTGGGAAAAACAAGAGACAAAATATCAAGCACTCTGATATTATATCTCTGTACAGGAATGGTCACAGATGTCCGTTTCACTCTGGATTTCCTGGGGAAGTGACAAAACACACAAAAATGTCCTTGGAAACTTTAAGTAAGTCGATATTAACATCTCTACACAGTCACACACGTTAGCACACACTCAGACACGCAGGCACATGCACGCACACACATACACACGCGTGCGCACACTCACACAAACACATGCAGTCACACACACACAGGTACACACACACACACAACACAAAGATACACACACAAACAAATGTAGACACAAATACACTTCATTCCAACATTACCAATATTAGATCTGTAAGGACTTTACAATTACAGTCTCACAGTTGCAAGAGGCTATCTGCAATATCATCAAACATACAGGATTCAGCGTACCTCGTAAGTGAGTTTGTCCCTGTTGTTGAAGAGCATGAGAACACACATCTGGAAGGTGGAGACTTGGAGAATGTGCTTCCTTACATTACTGCCTCCTCCCTCCTGCAATACAAACAAAAAAGTTTAAGGTTTTACTAAGGAAAATCATGGCAGAACCAGACAGCACAGGGACTGAATACAAAATTCTGCTAAGGAGAATCCTAACTGGTTCAAATGTTACCTCGATAAAGGTCAGACATTAGGGTAATAAGATACAAAGGTAACAGTTACTCAAGGAACTGGATAGAGTTTGAAAATGACATTTCATGTAGCGTCCATTACTTTTAGTCAGTAACAGTCCCTGATGAAAGGTAGTGGAGGCTACCTGAAATGTATGACAGTTTTGAAAATCTAACCAGTAATGCTGTTACTTTTGTAGGTTTGAATGTTGTATCTTTCTTTGGTTACGGACATCCTTTCAGATGGCACATAAAGGTGGAGATTTCGCACTTGACAAGAGCCACACTTTGAGTACATTTACATGTAAGAGCCCACCACACTTTCAAGAAGATAAAATACTGTATGCAGTCGAAGATAAACAGGTGCCAAACCTTTTTAGGTCCATAAAATGTTGCGTTGAGGTCAGCTGAGCCCATGTGATGTTGCAACGTCAGCTGACGGCCGCTATGTTTTACTAAATAGAACCTGGGGGAAAAAAAGGAAGATAAAAATGTTTGCAATAAGACATTCATCAATTTCTCCTAAATATTTAAAACATCATAACCATAGCACATCAGGCCTCAAGAAAGAAAACAAATTCTTAACTGCAAGTAAAAATATATCTACAATATTTCAGTGTAAAAAAAAATTAAGACATGTAATATCATGAAGAATGGCTTGAGTCTTTTGTAAAGTCAAATTTCTGACAACTTGCAATATAATGTTAGCCTGGGTGCCATCCTATTTGTATGCCGGAGCTCCCATATTCGCTCCCTATGATATATACACATGTATAGGCTAACATAATGAAGGTAAAAGAAAAATGTATTTTGAGCCCTGTGTAATTTGAGTAGCAGTGGACACTGTAAGATGATACCTCTTAAACGTTTCGAAGGCGTTCCTGGCTTGTACAGGGATGTTACACTTTGGTGAGGAGGACTGAGTCGGCCAGAATCCCGTGGTCAGGACTCGCACACTCAGGTCTATCCCGCTCAAGGTCGTCTGGAGGGCAAAGGACAGACATGCTTCAGTATTTGTTTATTTGAACCATTTTTCATTCATAAGAAGCTAAAAATAAGTCTGCTGGCCGCTTTTCATTGAGGTCATGAGGGAAGAGGTAAGGGTCAGACTGGTCAGACAAAATATATATTATCAAACAGTTTACAAATATGTATGTATAAGTCTGCATCAATTCATCAATTCTTAGTCCTCACAAACACAGACATGAAAGCTGGGAGGAAAACTTGAATCTGATGGCAAGTTCACTGTATTGAGTTAGTCCTAACTTCTAGTTTTCTGTTCACTCAATATTATAATTTAATATTGGACTCCTGGAAGAATAGAGTAAATGTTCCCACGTTACACACTATTGGGGATCTGAATAAAACAAACTTCCTGTGATACAATGTATCTCCTGTCAGTTTAACTTACCCCTGTATTTTGTAGATGTGAGAAGTGTATAACTCACCCCTGTGTTTTGTAGATGCTGCTTGAAGTCATCCATGAGTGAGTTAGAGATGGACATGTCCTTGAACATTCCCTCCAGCTTAGAGGTGAACTGACAGCCGCACTCCGTCTGGAACAATACCAATTAATTAATCAATAAAATGGTAATTGATCAATTAAAGTTCCTTAAGTTCTTTAACTACATTGTAAACTGGACAGGCCAACTGCTTTCAAATATTATCCTCAATTTCCAGTAAAACTAGACGTCAAAATACGAACTAGAAACTTTTTGGTAAATAATCTACGAGGCTCATTGAAGATGCAAAGACAAGAAACGGTACAGGCTTCCAAGTACTTTTAAGTAACACCTAGTCACACACCAGTAATATTACATGGCTCCTTATAAATGTTAAAACAAAGTGAGGGATTGACCAAAAAGTACTGAATCTGTTTCCAACTTGCGTTACATTTTACAGTGGTAAAACTAAATTTTTGCAGGTGTACCCAAATTTTTAAGTGCCCCTCTTTCCAAAACTTCCCTCTAAAAGTAGAATTCCCTACCAGGCCATGAAATCCTACCTTGAGTTTTGAGATCATGTTTTTCTCTGAGTCGTCTGACACACTCTTGTTCATGAGTAACCTGCGAGCCAGGTGCTGCTTGTAGTACCGCTCAAACACATCCTTCTCCTGAAGGTAGCGGAACAGAACCATCGTCTTGTCCAGGATGTTCTCTATCTCCTGTTCTGTCAACTGTGGGAGAGAGGGAAAATATTTATTTATTCAGCATTAATTTCTGAAATGCTACGTACAGTATACACAGGTTTGTGGCAGAACAAAACTATCATCTGGTCCAAAATGGTCTCAATCTTCTGCTCTGTTAGCTGAGGGAGGAGGACAGAAAATGGAAACTTGTTAGGTTTGATGAAAAAGTGAATTTGTTAAATCTCTTCCTTCGGCTGTACAAGACAAGTCTACTCAGCAATGACACCTAGCAGGACCAATGCAAACTGCAGCACGCTCACCCTCTTGTCTCCCTTCTTGAGCTTGTTCTCGTGAGCCAACATGAACCTATCAAAATGTACACCGCATTGTGGTCCACACAACACTGCCATCTAGCAGAATCAGAGCAAACTGCAGCAAACTCACCCCCTTGACTCCTTTCTTGAGCTTGTCATCAATGAACAGAGACAGGTACTCAGGAGACTTCTGGTTCAGGTTTAACATTTACACAACATTACGTCTACTCAGCAATGCCACCTAGCAGGACTACAGAAACTGCAGTAAACTTACCCCCTTGACTCCCTTCTTGAGCTTGTCGTCGATGAACAGAGACAGGTACTCAGGAGACTTCTGGTTCAGGTTTAAGAAGTACTCAAAGTCCGACGACACCTGCTGCTTAAACACTTTGTCATCGCTGAAGGACTCGTGAAGGAAGTGGTCAAATCTCTCCTTAAGATCCAACAGGCTCTGAGGAACACAAGAAAATATGTCTTGGAGTTAGAAATCTTGCTGGTGAACAGATAACAAGTATACAGTCACTGTAAAACCTACACAAACAATAAATAATCATGATTGGAAACATTTTGTCAGGACAAAGTCACACAAAGATATAAAGATTTCTTTCAAATAATGTAAATCGCTAGATCTTTTTTCAAAGACCTTAAACTTTTCACTTAATCTTTTCTGATTAGAAAATGAAAATGCTTCCTAGCTCTAAAGAACAGACGAAGCCAGAAGCTATCACTGCTATGTAGGGGTGTGCAGGACCTATCTGTAATACATGTATATGGCCTAAAACTTTCATTTGATTTAAAAAAAAAAAAAACTTTCAAAACATCAAATAAAATGCTCTCTATTTCTAATGAATGGCAGATGGAAGACCCCACTGCTGTGTAGGGGTGTGCAGGACCCTACCTGTACATATGTGATGGGGTTTTTGGGCTCGCCGGCCTGCCCCTCCTCTGTGACAATGGCCTTGCCCTGCTCCCTAAGATACTTGCTGACGCACTCGCATATCGTCTTCAGCCCGTCCGGCACGCGTATGAACAGCTTGTACATGCAGGCCAGGTCGTCCGTCTTGTTGTTCTTCAACATGTGGACCACTCCTGAGTTCTCCATCTAAAGATACATTGGTGAGAAGCACAATGTAAGTAAAGGGTCAACATTTGCTGGAAAATATATTTTCAAATGTCAGGGGCTGATCGGGCCTCCTTCCCAAGAGCTTGTGACCACACACCTTTAAGTTAACTCAAAAGAACCATTCCCATTCCCAGAACTACCAATAGGGGCTAAGGATTCTTAATTAACATCACAATCAGTCCAATAGGAGGGCAGGATTCTCTGTCACTATGGAAACCAGTATTACAGCCTCCAGCACCATAGTAACAGGAAATTCTCAGTCTCACAACTGGTCCATTTTCACACATGAAACCAGCAAGATTGAAATGTTCCCAATTCTCCTAACTTAGAGGTGTTGGCCATCAAGCTTCTAGAGGCCGGATCAGTGGAAGGGCTTCTACAAGTGTAATATACTCAGGCTAGACCGTTAACTAGTTCTGTGAAACAAAAGTGCTTCAGCATACTCACATCTACAATAGTTTTCATGTGCTTGCTGATGAGCTCCTCCTCCAGTACTTTAACGATGGGTTCCTCTGTGGTTTTATCCAGGTAGTGTTTGGCTCTCTCTGCCTCTTCATTGATCCTCTGCTCCACCTTTTTGATGTAGACAGAAGCACTGTTCTCTGCTAGGAACTTCTGACTTTCCAACTGTGAGGGGAACACAAGTCAGACATTGAGCTACATGTAGGTACCAAGCCGTGCAAATACTGTCAGAATTTCCTCGACATCTTTACAAGTAAAATACATGTAATTATATACATAATTCACTCACTTCCTAGGTATTCGTGACACTTTTTTTTGTCATCTCAATTTTGTGTAACCATAACATCATATTAACAAGCACTGAAAGCGCAACAATCCTAGGAGGGTCGGTGGCATGCTCCCCCGGGGAAAATTTGAAATTTTGACCCTCTGAAATGCTATTTCCTGCAATTTGAGGGACATATTTTGCTGGTAGACTAAGCTTAGTTTAATGACATCTCTTTTCCGTGCCAATTTTTGTCCATCAAAGATGATGCACTGAGCAAAATTTCTTCTCTTTACAGAATAGCATTTTATTTACCCATTGCTTGATGTATTTAGTATTTCATAAAGTAACACAATATGTTGTGACTGACCCTATAGAACTCTGCAGACTGCTCCAGGAAAGGCTGTTCAAAGTCCTCCTCATAAACCTGCCTACTCTCGATACCCAGGATCATCAACATCTGACACGCATTCTTCACCGCTCCCCTAAACAAATAAACAAACAAACATCAATAAACCTGCCTGCTCTCATCATAGGTTGCAGAAAGTCTGTAGCCCTCCCCGTCTCTGTTGAGGGATGGCTGTAATGCCGTGATGCAACCTATGATGCACTTGATACTTGAATGTACTTGATACTTTATTGGGATATCCATTAGTTGCACAAATTGTATGCAACTAATCTTCCTAGATTCCATGGAGTTATCATGTGTGTTATCTATGTAACGTCATGGAAGTGGTGGATTGCTCATTCCTTGACAAAGATTGGAGTTGTACAGTGGAAAATTTGGGTGAGTCCAATTTTTTGTGTTGGCAATTGCAGTTCAAACTTTGTTTCATAATGACTTGTACCAAAACAGATAAACTTTCAAGATATCTTTAACAACATGTTTTCTGACATCTGAAAATTTTTTAGCTGTCTTTACTGACCTGTCGACGACCTCTCCCCTGCGCTCACGAGCCACCATGTCCAGCAGGGTCTGTCTGAGGTGGTCCCTAATACAGCCATAACGGACCACCTGGTCACGGAACAGCATCAGCCCCAGGTTGTACACATTCTCCACTCCATTCTGTTGGACATACACTCGGTCCTGGGGAGATACAGAGGGTTAGGTGGAATATAGATTCAAAATGAATAATACACTGGTGAAGGTTAGACACCCAGGAAAGGAAACTGTTACTCAAGCAACTGGATGAATTTTGAAAACTGACAAAAAGTAGTGAATGCTTCTTGAAATGTTTTAAAATTCTACCCAGTTGCTTGAGTATCAATTTCCTTGAGAATATACTGGTGGACAGTATCTACATCTACTTGCCCAGAAAAGAACAACATATCATCATGCCTTCGAGTATCAAAGTTATCAACCAAGGATTGTGATGTTTGAGGGTCCAATCCAGTGTAAGTGGATCAAATCTTATACTCCGGTCATATGTAGCTTATCCTTACTGTACAAAGCTGGAGGTTATGCCTTAAGTTTAATTATGTGGTAAAGAAAAAGAAAGACCTCTACTGTACTGACCATGTACATGAGGATGTCCCTGATCATGACCATGGATGTCTGGTGGTCGTTCCACGCACTGTTCAGGGTCTGCAGGAAGTTGTTATTCAGGGACTCCAACACGTCCACTCGCACCTGGACAAAAAAACAGGAGCACAAGGATCATGTAAATATGGTACATTTGGGAACGTATCTATAGCAGCGACACCTGTGCTGCAGTGCAATGTGAACCAGTCAGAATTACCCTGAGGAAGGTGACAGATGGTCACCGAAACGTTGGCTGTGAATAAAATGCTTGATTGTGTAAAAAGAGTCTCTTTACTCAGTGACTTACCAATCTGATGAAACTATTCATACAAAAGATCATATGGCATGGCTTAAAATACAATGGACAATGTTTCCTGTGATGTTACACGTTGTTTTTAAAATTTTACTTCTGATTTGGAGAAAGTTATTGATAACAAAGGTATAAAGGCTAGGTGTCATTGTGACAAGCTGTGAAGCTGGTGACTGACAGGACTTTCTTTTTCCTGCACTGTCACCACCATGAATATTTTAGTTCCATGAACATGTCCACTTTTCTCAGACCACAAAATTTTGCTACCATGAACATAAAGAGAATTTCAGTAGCTGACGATGCACATAACCTCACCTTGTTGACGAGATGTTCAGTGACCACCTCCCTCAGGCCTGTGTACAGTTTCTCCCCATGTTTGTGCAGCACCATGGTGTAGGCATTCCTGTACAACTCCTCAAAACTCAGACCGCTGTTGTTCTTCTTCTGTATCTCCTGGATGGCGTTCTTCAGCAGGGCCCAGATACTGTTCACATACTTCTCATCCATAGTCATCTGGGGAGTAACAAGTCAAACAACAGTGTTAGAAATACCCACCTGTACTGTAGTCTGCATTTTTGCAGACTCTTTCAATACTGCAGAAAAAAATTTAAGCAACCCGCAATTTTGCAAACTGAAAAAAATTCAGGCTAGTGGTTCAATGGTGTTGGCATAATTTTGTATTTACTCTATGACATTTGTTTTTCAATTGCATGTAAAATGGTAGCCAAAAAGTATTTCTACCACTGCACATGTATGTCAGGTCATGATGTTAGAAATTTTACTTGATTTTAAAAAGTTTGTGTGAATATCCAAGCCATCATCCCTGCTAATACAGTAATTACAGCTGAAGAGTACTGATGTACTAAAATGTGTTGAAAGTTAGTACCTTTATGTCAATAACAAAGGTGCAAAGGTTGAAGAATAATATGCTGCATATGCAGGTTAGCACAGGTAAAATTGTAGCTGTGCAGGTATTTTTATGTCCACTTTCCATGTACTGGGTTTATATACACGTGTAGGTGCATGTGGATTTTTTTACTTGCTCCATTGACTGTTGTTACCACATATGAAGTATAAAAGAAATTATGGCAATAGTTTTATTTTGAACAGGTTTCAGTATGATCCATACTTCCTAAATTCTGAATGACATCAGTAAAACTTGTCTGGTGCACATATGCAAAAAAGAAAAGAAATTTATTTCAAGCCCTGTTTCTACTGTTACAGTATCATTTTCCTGTATTTCCTGAAATGAAGTGTGTTTTGCATGCTCATTGAAAACAGATACTTGTAGATCAAACATGTCCTTTCATTCTTGTGCCTTTAACAAAACAGGAGAAAGAGCCTTTTGAAGTGAAAGAGTCATGAATACGACGGGCGAATCGTGAGGTCCAAACCTGGACACAACAGCTGTTACATGTGCATGTACAGGCATGTACAACAAAACTCAGAAAAGATAACAAATATTTTTATGTTTCTCTCGTTTTGGGCATCATTATTATTATTATTTTTGGGAAAGTCTATTCTAGTCTATTCTTAGCATTTACATAAATTCCTACCAGTCATAATAATGGCTATATTTGCACATTGCATTTAAATATCTATGCACTTTTTTCCTGCAAAGTAGGATAGAAAACAAATGAATCTAAGTATGATATCATTGTCAATAGTTTGATTGTATAGTTAAAATACTGGTTATGATGAAAGTATGTGTAAATTTAAACGTTTAGGTGTCAGAACTGGGAATTTAAAATTAATATTCATATCTGCCTAATAAAAACTGTGAAGATTCGCATAACATCCAAACAAAACCATTGATTATCAAATATCATAAACGTTAAACAAGAGCATCTTACGCCCCCCTCCCCTTTTAAAAGTCACCATTTTAATTGACTCCCAGCTGTATTTATTGATGCCAAACGTCGGAAAGGCTGTCCACTTGTTTGTGCCAATAATTTCACGCAGTGTTTACTAGTACCTTTCATGAGAAGTATCTAAGAATGTAAACAAACTTGTGACGGAATGGTAAAGTATTATTTTCTCAGATCGTGATCAAACAAAGGGAAATCCGGAGTTATTCCGACTTAAACTGGTCCGTCAGCTAAACTGCGTCGTCATGCAACAAAAAAATTATGATGAAACCAGAGGACAGACAAATGGCGAGACGTCTGCACATTTCATAATAAATACCACAGAGAACGCCGGCTCACAGTTATGACAATCATATGTGATGTTAGTTGATGATTTTGAGTAGAAAAGAGCGGTTATACTTACGGGAAAGGCCCTGATTCGCATCTTGGTGTCCTTCTTGCTTTTCAGCGACATTTTGGCCACTTGCGTTCGCTGCTATTTTTGGCAAGAAAGGACCGGCTGTGTCGACGGCTAAAACAGCACCAAATCGACGCTGATCTCGCTAAAACTGCCCTCTATGTCAAGCTGTTGTTCTTCTACTCTCACCTCACCGGCGGAATCTGCATTGATTAGCCAGAAAATGATGGAAAATTGGCAAAATAAGAATCAACAGTCTCCAACAAAATGTCTGTCTTTAGTTTACTGCCATTTAGGGCGACTTCCGTATCCTTCCGCACAAAGTAAACCTTACAGTGTTGTCTACAAAATGCATATTATCTGTCATAAAGATAGATTTTGGTATATGATAAAAAGCAAAACCGAAAACGTTAATCATTTTTACTAGTTAGTCAGTTTATTTTAATCAGCGAACGATTATTTAACCAATTTTGTAATTGTGATGCGGTTGAGGGAGGCGCCATGTTACTCTGGTGACGTCACGCAGAACGCAGACTTCTCGCGAGACGCGGCGAGAACCAAGATGGCGGCGCCCATGCGATGGCGAAGCGCTGAAATAAGTAGGGAATTTTTGGAATATTATGTAAAATTGACACACTTTCACGACGCTTATGTACTTCCTAAAACCATACCATGTATGGTGTGCCTTTTTAAAGGTAGAAAAGGCATGTTTACGGTTTGTTGTTAAATAGAACTAGTAATAGACGACCTGTAGAAGAAGGGAACAAATAAATTTATCATTTTGATTCATATATTATTATTTTGGCTGAGGCTGTAACATAATAATTCATGTTGGAGTCAAATTTTTGCTGGAGTGCATTATACTGCAGTGCAACATGCCAATCTTCCAACAACCGGTTAGTGTTGTCAGTAATTATATAGAGGTGTCAAAACATAGGGATATAACTGTGTAACATAAACCATAACACACTAGTACAATGTATTTACAGGTCCATATCTGAAGTCAGTATGAAGAGGGAGGGGGGCAGTGTGCCCTGGACAGCGCCTCAGCATGTAAGCGTGCCAGACTGAACATAGCTATAGGGGCATAACTGTGTAAATGCTGTAATGTCAAACCATAACACACTGCCATGTATATTACAGGTCCGTAACCTATGACAGTATGAAGAGAGAGGGGGATGGTATGCCGTGGACAGCACCCCGGAAGTGTAAGCGCTCCAGACTCTGTGTCAGCACAGCAGGCTCACCCGACGGACATCTTCATCTGGTCTTACACTTTAAGAGGAGGTCTTCATTTCTGAGTTTGACACCATCTAACCGTGTGGAGACTGCACAGGAACATAGAAGGAAGCCTTGTGTTGATAGAAGAGTCAGTGGTAAGATTGTCAAACCACAAAGAGTGGGGAGTAAAAGCAGAACTGTGGGTGAAGCCAAGAAGAGAACAACACAGCTGAAATCTGTACATGAACTAGAAATGAAGTCTCCAAAGTCTTGCGAAAGTCATGGACTGGAAAGTGGAAATAAGTCTTATGTTAACAAAGTCGCAGACCAAAAAGTCCCAGAACCATCAACATTGATGAGAAAAGAGGAAAGAACAAGTCATACCAAAGAGAAACCAATGTGCAGTAAATCTGGGAAGGAGCACAGAAACAGTACTAACCATACAAGAAGGTACAAGCAATACAAGGTGAAATACAATGGGTATCCATCTCACAAACATTTTACTCCTCTGTTAAACTTAAGGACTGGCACCACAACAAAAACTTGTGTAAAAAGAACACCCAAGCCAAACCCTTGCCATAAAGTAATGCAGTACAACTCAGGCCATTGCAGTGAACCTTCAGAAAATGGTGTCTGCGCAGTAGAAAGCCAGCAGAAACCATCATTAAAGAAGAAGAGTGAACTTGCATGTGTAGGCACTACTGTGGAGGACAGCAGACAGTCTAAATGGTATGTTTCACCCATAACTCACACAAGGAATGAGGAAAAACAGCTCAAACACATTGACGAAAAGAGGTGCAATCAAGGAGAAAAGCTTGCTAAGACCAAGACAATGTCAGATACTGCCACTCAAAAACTTCATCCAGATTCAAACAGGAAAGACAGTAAATGGGAAGTGACTGAAATTGAGTATAAGAAGAAGCAAACAGTGTCTGATAATCAAAAGTTAGGCAAACTTAATAAGTCAGGAATGAAGTCAGCTATCATGGAAGTAGAGTCCACAACAGCTTTATCCATTGGATTGTTTCCAACTTGTCCATGGGAGGTAGAGTCAGACGATAGCTCAGATGATTCAGATGGAGAAAAGACTGAAGTGAAACTGACTGAATTAGGGAATGAACAGCAAACAGTTCCGGACAATCAACAGCTAAGCAAGGTACATGAACCTGCTTGGAAGTTACAGGGTGCAACATGTGAGACAACAATCGAGTCAGAAGTACAGCACAGGAACACTTCATGTACAAAAGCAGAAAGTACTAGGTCACCTACTGGTACTTCTGGTGCTATGAGACAGAAAAATACAGCTGAGACAGGAAGGAGTGAAAAGAAAAACTTTCTCAAAGAAGGACAAAGTAGATATGTAGGGAAAAGTGATATGACAACCATGAGCAGTGCAAGTTTACATGACCAACAGAGGCCGCTAAAGAATATGTGTAAAGAAGAAAACATTGTGGAAATTCTGCAGGACAAACTTGTCATACCCAAAGATTGTGACAACACAAAAGACTGCAATGGACCAATCACATCAACCGACACCTCTGATGTCAGTGATGATGTAATGAAACGTAGGCAGCCAATCAGGAAAGACCTTTGTAGCAGCTCAGGTGGAAGTGTACAAAATGGACCAATCACAGTCAGGAATGGTTGTGCTGAAGATGACAGTTTGGCCACAGTTGGGATGAAACAGGCAACAAGTTCAGTCAGCTCTCCCAGGAAACTTGACCTGGAGGTCGCTGACCTGATGACCCTTGCACCCCACGAATGGCTGAATGATAATGTGAGTCACATGACACCTGATGTCACTACTCTGTTTTGATATCTTGATTTATTATAAATTCCAATCTAGTGTTACATATCTTTGGTTTTAGAATTGCACGTCTTGTCAATGTATCAAAATCTTGCAAATACTGGTTAGAATGAAATGCCACAATGCTACATGTGCATGTAGAATGTTTGGCCAATGCACAGAGTTGTTTGGAAACTTTGTGTGTTCAAGATATTTAGCTTACTGAGGGACAGGTAAGGATTAAGAAACACTGCATCAGGAAACTCAACTCAAAAAAGAATGTTGCTCAAGAAACTTGGACAAAAATGAATACCTTATCTTGAAAGTTCATCTGTGTTGGTAGAAGTCATTATGAAACAAGTTTGAACTGCAATATCCTTGACAAAAACTATCCTCAAAAATTTGGGTCCAATTTCTTGTGTTGGATATTGCAGTTCAATCTTGTTTCATAGAAGCTTGATTAACTATTAGTAATTACATGTAGATTGATCCTTCCTCACCTTGCACTAAATGCAGGTTCTGAACGGTTACTTTGATCTGCTGTCTGAAGCCCGTCCAGATGATGTGTACTGTTTCAACACCTTCTTCTACACACAGCTGTGCAGGAAGGGCTACCAGGGGGTCAGGAGGTGGACTAGAAAGGTACGAACCAGATCATTTCTTTTCTATTCAAACTACCTTAACTTCTTGGTAAAGGTAAAAGGTAGTCCCATAGTCTTTGAGGCTGTAGGGGCAGTGGGCTGTCAAACTGTGTCTAGCCAGTAGGGCATGTATTTCAGCACCAAGGACAGAGCTATACAAGGTTACATCTGACCAGTGCTCTTGTACGGTCCAATGTACCTCTTCGAAACTGAGATTCAAGTCAGTCATGACCTGTCAAATTGTTTTCTACTACGCTGTTTTACCTAAAGCACAGTATCTGGTGAAGGAAACACATGGGAAAGTGGCCCTACCTATTTTAGATACTAAGCCACTTTCATCCTCTTTGCAAATATTTTCAGAGAGGAGGAAAGAGACTTCGTAGCTAGAAAAGGTTTGGACACCATGCTAAACTACTCTCCAAGCAAAAGTATATATTTGGTTTATATTCGGCATGTTTTTAGGCTTTTTTATCAGGGTTTCTTTTTTGCACTAGGTCAAAAAAATTCCAGTGCAAAAAAGAAAACCCAATAAAAAAGCCTAAAACACGCCTAAAACAGAAACCAAAACCCAAACCTCTGCTTGGAGAGTAATGCTTAACTGCTACAACAACTCTCAATACTTCATGGATGCGTGAAATCTTTGATTGCTTGTTTCCACAGGTGCAGATTTTCCAGAAATCTGTGTTGCTGGTGCCTCTTCACCTGGGCAACCACTGGTGTCTGGCCGAGGTGGCTGTACAGGACAAACTGCTGTTCCTCTACGATTCACGAGGGGGTGCTAACCTCACCTGTCTACAGGTAGGGTTGAGGCCGCACAACACAGTATTTATGGGCGAACCCCGTAGTCAAAAGTAGTCCGGGCACAACGTAGTACTGCACAATACTCTACTAGAGAAAGGTGCAGAGATTGTTCTGTGCATGGATTGAGATGGCATATCTGTGGTGAATGTTAGAGGAATACGTCAGATTTGAGACTGTAAAAGTTGAATTATGGTGCGTGTTCAGTCGGCGTAGATTTGCGCTCGGATACTTCTCAGTAACTCTTCTCCCTGAGTCAGAAACATCAAGATTGAGACCAGCCCAATTTCTCACAAGTAGTGAGGACTAACTGACACAATAAGAGAAGCAGCGGTTACGAGGCTGGTCGGGAAAATTCCCTTCCCCATGTTTAGACCATAATTGTTTGTCCCACTTCTACTCACGTGGGTTCTTTAACGTATGTTGTTTATTGCAGAGGCTGGTGAGCTACTTGTGTTGTGAGGCAGAGGAGAGAGGAGAGGCTGACTTTACCTCAGGCTGGGAAGGACACTTCAGAGAGGTGAGAATTGATTGATTGATTGATTGATTGATTGATTGATTGATTGATTGATTGATTGATTGATTGATTGATTGATTGATTGACACTGCAGAGAGGTGATTGATTTATTGTCTAATATTGATCAATTCACATCTGAATAAATCAAACTACAGGACAGAATATACATGTACATTGTTAGCCTGGTTACCAAGCTTATTATAGCTCTGAGTCCCTGAGAGGATGTAGGACTCAGGAGCTATGATAGGTTTGGTTACCAGGCTAGTACATAAATGTACTATCATATAAATTATGATGTTCACATTGTTTTTCTTTATAGAATATCACTGCCAAGAACATACCACTCAGATCCATGTTCATGATGGTGTTTGCATGATGTTCACATGAAGTTCACATGATGTTCACATGATGTTCACATGATAGTCACATGGTTTGTTTCAGGACATCCCAGTGCAGGAGACCAGTGGTGACTGTGGAGTTTTTGTTTGTCAGGTGGGAGAATTTTGTGGATGATTTTTTTTAACTACACATTACAACACTGTTGATACAAAATCATATTGCACATTTATCATATATTTTGCTGTGAAAATAACTCTTAAAGTTGTCATTCAATTACCCTGTTCTTCTGTAGTTAGGCTCTAAAGGACAACAAAGATAAAGAGTCATAATGTTAACCTTTGCAAAAGTATTGTTTTTGCTCAGTTTCTTCTTCTTCTTCTTCTCCAAACAAATAAAGTCAAGGACCTGGACTCTAGGCGTCTGTCACCACAGTATCTTTTACTATAGCAGACACCCTGTGGTGTTGGGTCACATTTTGTAGCAGGACAGAATTGGAGAGCCTTGTCACCATATATTATATCTGAATGTGTTTGAGTAACAATAAACAGAGCAGTAGTTTGCTAGGCTAGGTAAAGTTTAACCTTATGCATTTGCTTTGCAAATGTTACCTGTCTAATATAATTTGTGTTTTTGCTGCAGTATGCCCGATGCATCATGGAAGGACGGCCGATGGACTTCAGTCAGAAGGACATGCCAAAGTTTCGCTGTCAGATGACACAGGAGCTGCTGCAACACAAGCTTCTGTAAAGTGAGGAACTGGAAAATCCGGTGCTTTTGAACTTGGAAAATCTGTGCACAATTCTTAAACATCTTCCATCATAAGATGCAAGAGCTTAATTTCATAGAGTTACCAAAAAGACACAACTGGCTAAAATTTGTCTGAGAAACTTGCTGCAACACAAGCTTCTGTAGCGTGAGAAACTGGAAAATTTGGTCCTTTTCAACTTGGTAAACCTGTGCACATTTTTTCATGATCAGAGACAAAAGCTTAGTTTTTTAGGGTAACCAAAAGAGAGGCAACTGACTAAAATTTGTGAGAAACTTGAGACACCAGTTCTGTTGAATTTGAAAAGGGAAAGCCCCCTTTCCCCTTCTAACACAGAAATTAATGAATTTGCAGTAATTCATTTTGAGGGAAGCATGAACTAATTTATTTGTCCAAAGTGGTGCCCTGAAAATTTGCAGTGTGAGTGTTCGAGTTAAAAAGGTTTTTCTAACAAATTGTGCAATATTCTGTTCTGTTGTTTGCAAAGTTTTGAAGCACACTGCTGCAAGTTTGTTCCCTCTTCCATATCTGCCATTTAGTTGTAGCCTGGATATCAGACTGTTTCCAGAGCCTACTCCTCTGCTCCAAGGAGCTGGCCTGTGTAAGCCTTAGAAACAGTAGTAGATATTTATGTTGACAAACCAAGCCCAAGCTAAAATTCAAGCATACTAAAAGCAACATGACAAAAATGCTAAGTAAAAAGGAAAGAGACAAATGTGATGGTTAATTTCTTTACTTCCAGATATTGTGGAACCATTTTTTTTTTCTAACGTTGTGTGATGATAATACCTATGTCACACAATTTATTTAAAAACTTATTTTGATATTCAAAGCTACAACATAACCAAATGTGAACTCACTTCATAATCATCTGTTTTTCAGAAACATGTTACTTAAAGTAAAAAAAAAAGTTCAAACTACAAAGAAGGTAATACAAAACTGTACTTAGTAGATGATGTCTATCCCTATTATATACAAGCAGTTAAAAGCTTAAAATCAATTCTCAACTCTCTTGACTAAAGCTAAAGAGCGACAATACATTACTTGACTTAAAAACCATGAAATGCAAGTTCACTTAATATATGTTATTCACTTTCAATAAACCTATAAGGTTTCCATTTGTTGCAATGTTATTATATAATATTATACTCAACGATATACATCCATCCAGACTGTATAAGAAACTATATCAACATGTACATGTATCGTTCTCATTTTTGCTAAAACCAGACTCACAAAAAAGCGACTGGCATTTTTGTGGGTCTGACTTTGTCTTTCACAACGTTATACTACTCTCCCTATTTCTGCATTAGCTATTTCTATACATAAATCAACAGTTAATGATAATAATAAGTTGTTACACAATGTGCCAGTACCGCATATCATTTACCAAAAGAAAACAAGCCAAACTTAAGAAACCTAATGTACATTCCTTTGACATATTTTAGCTTTACAAAAACATGACAACATTAATACAACAGGCCTTTATAACTTAACCAGTCTTACCAAATCCTAGCCTTATTCCATCAAATCTGTACAAATGACCAATGTACATAAGGTCAACCAGGCCATTGATATACAGTCAAACCTAAATACTACATACATGTGAAAGGACTACCTGACCAATGTGATGGCTTTTAGTGGCCTCCTCTCTCTCCTCTTGGATAATTTTTCCCACTGACATAAGCATTAAAAATCCTGTCCATGGTAACCACCTTGTCAGATTTGACTGTGTATTGCAGCAGGCCTCAAAATTAACTTCCTATTGTTCCAGCACTGTCCCAAAAATAAATCTCAACTGGGGATTTTTCCGGATCCAAAAGCCGGGACATGTGCCTGATAAACAAAATAAGGGCTGACATTCTGATGTTGATTATTTTTCTATCATCCCAAAAATTTCCCAAAGTGTCTTTTTAGTTGTCCCAGTCTAAATTTTAATTTAGTGGTCAGCGGCCGTTTTAATTTCAAGCCCTGCCGCAGGCCATGCAATTAAAAGTGAACTTAATGTTGTAATGAAGGAGAACTAGTTGGCATCCTCCGTTGGAGTACCAGAGCATAGCTGACATCGATGTATGGCTCTGGACAGCAGAGATACACAGCAACATGTCGGTGGGCCTCGGCAGATACAACCTGTGGGGGAAAAACACTCGTGTTAACCTTTTTGACAAATATTTATACTCTCCAAGCAGAGGTTGTGGGGGAATGATCGTTAGCTTTTTATATATGGCCGTTTTTTTTTGTCACTATCCCCACCAACCACCCGTCGGTGGCCGGCGACCTTCTCTGGCTAATGGATACTGCCTGACCAATTTGATACTGTCTTTTTGCCACCGATAGGGATCTGCTTGGAGATTGAAATATTTGTACCAGAACACAGCTACTCTGGGGAGCTTTCGAGACACACTCTGTCTCTTCTTCAACCCGGTGACAAGAGACAGTCATATAGAGGTTTCAGGGAGTGATGCCCTGACCAACTCCCCTGGCATGTTACATGTATCTATCTACATGTATTTGGCCGATTTCTACTCTTTCCAGCCACCTCCCGAAGCCTGGTAGAGGCTAGGGCTTCCCACACTGATTTGGTACATGGATGTGGTGGAATATGAAAATGAAGCAGAATTTTCTTATTCCTACCTCCCAACGTCTGTCCATCTGAAAGCTAGAAGTGTCCATAGTGTCAGCCGTGTTCTTCACATCCATGGAGTATCCATCGTACACCCAGGACCCCAGCTTAACGGTGCAGTTCCACTTTTCCTCACCAGGGGGCAGTACTACACAGCTGGTTCTTAGGGTCCAAGGAGTGACGTAGTGCACTTGGCCATCGCTAGAGATGACAGCGTTTCCCATGATGGGCACATATGTGCTATCCTGGTCTACACTGTAGGGTGGTAAAATGATCAACATTCATTACTTGAACAGTCCAAAGAGTATTATAGTGTTTTTTCAGTCACTGTGGTTAAATGAGGGTCTGCATAGGGGGTCCCGACAATGCTCTACGCTAAATTCTGAGCACCGGCTATGTATTATGCTACAGTAGCGATTACGCTTTACAATAAATTCCAAGTGGCTACAACGCATTGCGTAGAACTAAAACGGCAAATACGCTCTATGCAAAATGCGCCAATTACGCTCTACGTTGAATTAGAGCGGTCTGTCAATGCTCTAAGTAGAATTACAATGGCCGATTACGCTCCATGGAAAGGGGCTTACAGGCCCCCTTAAATATAGGCAAAGGTACAGTACCTACAGTACAAAACTGACATGTTGTGCTGCTTATGACATCAAACTTTTGGACCAGTCCTCTTTTCAAATTTTCCACCAGTCCTCACTGATCCTGAGGAAGCTCTAAAAAATTTCTCAATTTTTTGGAAGAAAGTTGGACCATTTTCCATGAAGACAAACCTTCCATAGTTGGTGATGTCAGGAGTCCAGAGCTCTTTGACCGGAAGACGCACACTCGAGACGCCGTAATCCTCAGGGTCCCACTTGAGACGAACATCTGTCCAAGTCTGGAGGAAGAAAAAAGGGTTCAGAAAATAAACAGTTAATAAACTGGTGGAGGTACCAGCTACTGAGTATCTAATACATGTACTAGCTCAGAAAAGAGTTAAAACCAGAGTCATACCATCAAGTACCGGAGTTATCAACTAAAGATTGCGGTGTTCAAAAATTTGTTTTTTCCTAAAACTGATGTAGGGTGGAACTTGTTGCCACTAATATATGTACAGTAATACTTACTATACTAAGTAAGTCATAGTACTAGCTCAGAAAAGAGTTAAAAATCTACCACAGAGTGGAACTTGTTGCCACTTACTACATGTAGGTATAGTATTACATGTACTTACAATGTATATCACTAGATAAATGTAAACAATGCTTACAGTTAGATGTGCTAATAGAGATAGGGTAGAGTTTTTTCACATCACATTTTACAATCACATGAAATTTTCTCACCATAGTCAGCCATGTGTGGATTTGCAAGGTGTCAGTACTCAGGTCCTGGGAAAAGAACATTGATTTTTGTAGAAAACAATTTTAGCTAATATATTTTAATCATTTTTATAACTTATATATAGTAACAATTCAGACTTGTGTCTTATAAGAAGGATTCATTGATCTAGAAGTATTAAACAGCTGCCATGAGGATTAAATCCCATCTTATGTTAAATATATGTTAAGATTAGATTATTTTCAACTTCTTCCACCCACCAAGTTGAGAATTTTCTGCGCTGACATGGCCAGTTGGACCTCTACAGGTTCATCTGCCATGTATTGAGGTATGACTGTCTTGTCGTAAGAAACAAGTAAGTCACTGCGTAGTCTTGTTGCTGAGGCCAAGCTCCATCCTGCCAACATGCCTTGGGACAAACAACAAAAAAACTGTAAAACACAGACTAGAAGAAAGCTTAAAACTACCTAGATTTCAATTTGTTTTGCCCACATCATTGCTGTAAATCTGTTTTAATCTGTTGTAATCAGTTTAAGTTTTATAGAAAGTTTATTGCAAATTCATGCCCGAGGGCTAATTGCAAGAACATGATAATGTAAGGATCTAATATTCCCCCTATGGGAATGGTACAACCCGCCACCCCCGGTGGCAAGTGGTCTAGTCCTCCTTTGGAACCGGATTGATCTAGATGAGTGTACCACATGTTCTACTGAAGAATACACGCTACTGCAAGTACACCTCTCGTCTCCTCTCATCATTCCGTAACCATGGGGTGGGGGACAGGGCGAGGAAATGGTTCGTTACAATAACAACAATAAACAGTGAAAATGATAATAAGTAATGCTAATGCTACTTTAGCTGTACATTTGTACTTATTGTTGGGTTTGATTTCTTTTCTGTGTGCAGAGGAGTATGAAATGGCCGACATTTTGTGAGATGTATGGATTGGGAGGTGTTAATAGAAATGCAGTTTTTTGTAGGCTAGGAAAGTGAATAAAGCTAGGGAACATTTTGAACAATAAAAAACTGTAAAACACAGACTAGAAGAAAGCTTAAACTACCAAGATTTCATTTCTTTCGCCCATATAATTGCTGTAAATCTGTTTTAATCTGTTGTAATCAGTTTCAGTTCTATAGAAAGTTTATTGCAAATTTATGCCCGAGGGCTAATTGCAAGAACATGATAACAACAATAAACAGTGAAAATGATAATAAGTAATGCTAATGCTACTTTAGCTGTACATTTGTAGTTATTGTTGGGTTTGATTTCTTTTCCGTGTGCAGAGGAGTATGAAATGGCCGACATTTTGCGAGATGTATGATCATGAATTGGGAGGTGTTATTACACAGACATGCAGTTTTTTGTAGGCTGGGAAAGTGAATAAAGCTAGGGAACATTTTGAACAATAAAATGTAAAACACAGACTAGAAGAAAGCTTAAACTAGCGAGATTTCATTTTGTTTCACCCATATCATTGCTGTAAATTTGTTTTAATCTGTTGTAATCAGTTTAAGTTTTATAACTACTTAGCATTGTAAGTCTAATAATGATATACATTAAGCTCTTGTAACGTAACAAGGGAGCTATGACGTATTGCTTCAATCTGTATCTGTATAGCCGGTATAACCGCCTTTCGGCATAACATACCAGCTTTGCAGGCACGCGGCGTGCCGGCAGCTGGCTATATTACACTGAATGACTTGTAACACCTAACCCTTGAACTTCTAACTCTAGACATTGTTTAAAGCTATCTGATCTTCTGATGTGGTTGTGTGAATAAGAATTTTTATACAAAAAGAAAAATACCTCGGGACGGCTTTTCTGGTCGCGGTTTCCTCATTGTCGTTGTTTGGGCGGGTTCCGGCGTTGTCGTGGTTATGATAGGTGTTGTAGTAGGTGGTGGTGTTGTTGTTGTTTTGGTTGTCGTTGTTTTGGTTGTTGTTGTGGGAGGTAGTGTTGTAGTTTGGGGGGTTGTTGTTGTTGTCGTTGGCAGTACTGTGGTTGTTGTCTGTTGAGTTGTGGTGGTTTGAGGTAGAGTTGTTGTTGGCTGTTTGGCTGTGATACAATAGAACAGAAAGGGATGTAAGTTGGTAAGTTGCTTTGCAGGTTAGAAATTGTATCTACACTTTTTTGACAAAACCAGACAATAATCTGCAATAGACAAATTTTTACCTGAACCACTAATTTTCTTTGCCTTTTAGACCTTCCATTCTCTTTAATGAATAATGCTTTGCCGAAGTGCTATTTTTAATGGCATTGTCAGTGCCATTATCTGTTCTATGCAACGATGCAACTATCATCATAAACTATGCAGGTTAGGGCAGGCATGTGTTTTTTTTCCAGTTACACTCCCATGTTCCAACGTCCCTGTGTTCCGACAACTTACTAGTATGTGACAAGACAACCCTATAACCATATGTGAAAATTTACAAATGTAAGGGTGTCCAAACAGAGGGTGCCAAAAGATTGGCGCATTTAAACATACATTCTAGGGCTGCCCCCATTATTTCTAGCCCTGTACAGACCCTAGAGGTACATATACTAGTAGTCTACACATTACACTGTAGAACAGAGACATTTAGAGGTAGTTTCTTCCCACAAACAGTTCTCGAATGGAATGCCCTACCTGACCAACTGGTAATGGCTAAGACAATTGAGCATTTTAAAGCTGGGGTAGTCAGCCATTATGGCTTCCCTAGCTGTACCCAGCTGTAAGAATGTGGTCAACCCCTAGCTACGACTTCTGTATATAGTCACTGCCCTTGATTTTGTTCTTGTTTGTTTTTACCACCACCACCGGTCACGCTGGGGAAGGACCACTCCCCTAAGCACTAGGCCCCGCGAGGGGTGTTGCTTAGTATTGTGTAGAAGTAGAAGTAGAAGTCTAAAGCCTCACCTGTGGTTGTTGGTCCTGTAACCTTGTCATAGATGAAACTGTTTGGGTCAGATGAGGCGTGGTCATTATCGCAGGTCTGGAACTTTGGATGACAGTTTCCCTCAGAGTACATAAAAGCCACGCAGTCAGCCTCATCTGTGCACCTAAGAAGATAGAAAACAATAATTTTTTGTTAAACCGAATATGGCCTCCCAAACTCCCCCCAACCATGGTTAGGAGTAAGTCTAGAACTTTGGGTGACAGTTTCCCTCAGAGTACATGAAAGCCACGCAGTCAGCCTCGTCTGTGCACCTGTAGAGATAGATAACATTGTTAAGCCGCCACCAGTAGCTGAAAATATCCTCCCAAACACTGCCAAACTCCCCCCAACCATGGTTAGGAGTAAGTCTGGAACTTGGGGTGGCAGTTTCCCTCAGAGTACATAAAAGCCACGCAGTCAGCCTCATCTGTGCACCTGCGAATGTAAGAAGATAGAAAACATTTGTTAAAGCTGATCACATGTACCGGTAACCGAATATGGCATCCTAAATACTGCTAAACCATGGTAAGGAGTACATGCAGGGCTGGAACTTTGGGTGACAGTTTCCCTCTGAGTACATGAAAGCCACGCATATGCGCAGTCAGCTTTGTCTGTGCACCTGTGGAGAATGATAGCTAGTGTTACAAAATCTCACATTGTCAGAGGCCATTTGAGCCTTAGTCTGTGTTAACACAGGCTCTCCGGCAAGCAGCAACCTTTGGGGCGGGTGGCCACCAGGAGCGTGGTTTAGTCAGGCTAGATTGAGCCTGTGTTACACAATCTCTTGTCAGGAGCTGATTGGGCCTCTTGTTTTTAGACCGTGTTACACAGTCTCTCACTGTCGGGCTGACTGCATGGGTCTCCTCCCTGATAGCTTCTGGCTAAGAATTCTTTATCACTACAAAAACTGGTCCAATAGGAGTTTAGGATTCTCTGTCACTATGAAAACTAGTCCAATAGGAGCTCAGGATTCTGTATCACTATGGAAACCAGTCCAATAGGAGCTCAGGATTGTAGGTCACCATAGAAACCAGTCATCACAGCCATCACCACACCATTGCACAATTATACACCGTGGCCTTTATTTATTTATTTATTTCATCTTGAACACCTGGGTGGCCTCTCCAACAGTAAATTGTTGATTTCCAAGAGGGCCCAGGACCTTAAGGTTAAAAGTTAAAGATCAAAGGTTGCTCACCTTCTTGCGCACTCCTCCAGTTGGATCCCCTTCCCGTACAGCGGCCAGATCTCGTTCCCAGAGCAGTCTCCCACCCTGCCCTGGTAACCTGGGACAACAGCTTGTTGTCAGGGAATGCATCATAGAACTTCTGGTGAGCTAGGTTTTTGAACATGCATTGCACTGAATGGCTGCTTGGCTTAACAGGCCAATAATTATAAAGTATAAAAGAGTAAAAGGTAAAGACAATGGTGCGAAAGAGAAAGAAAGAAATGAAAAAGAAGCAAAAAGTTAGTACTTTTTGCTTCTTTTTCATTTCTTTATAGAGAAACCTTTGCAAAAGAAAGAAAAAAAAAGAATTAGGAAAGATCTAGGAAGTGAGAAAAGGAAATGAACTGTTCAGGGTTACATATTTGTCTTTGACTTGAACAGAGGATCGGAGACAAGACAAGCTAGAGACAAAACCAAATGTGAGAAAGGATAAACTACACAGCAAAGTCAAGGAAAATCACCAGTTTAGCAGACTATGTTCTCTTTAACAACATTATTGAAATACATGGGATAAAACTGAACATATCTACTCGGTACATGTAGTACAATTTACCTGGGACAGGAGGTGCCTTTGTGTTGGCTGGTTTCCCGACAGGTGTGCCCAAACAAAGATTATGGTCTTCTGGAAACTTGGAACAGTCCAGATTGTCCGGCCAGGCGAAGCCAAACTTCATCATCAGACCTTCGCAAAAATAGAAACAAACAAACAAAGAAACAAATAAATATTGTCATTGTCAAGTTTATGGATCCTGACAAATACTCCTGTGAAGAAAAAGAAACTTTTGAGCATTTGTAGAAGTTTGCAGTGCTGAATTTTTTATTTTTTAATATAGTGGTAGAGTACAGTCATCAAACATTTATTAAAAAATCCAGCACGTTGGCAGAACGTACTGCACCTGTGCAAAAACTGTAATGTATTTTGCATAGCACCTCGCAGAACGTCTCATATAAGGTTGTATACAAGGTTCATCATTTATAGTTTCCAAGTGTTATGTCGGAAAAATATGCAACAGGCAAAATTCTGACGCAACGTTGACCAAAAATCCAACGAAAACCGTGAAAAATTGAGGTTTCACGCAGGCACAGTATGTTCTGCCAACGTGCCACGTTCCTATAGCTACTGCTACAAAATTGTATTTTGTTTTTGTAAGAAAAAAACAGACCTTCGCAGCTTCCCCTAGCAGATTCGCACAGACTGCGGCAGGGAGGGATGGCCGAGTCCAGAACTGTGCATGGAGGGGCGTACACGAAGCACAGGAACTGGTCCAGAACATCCGAACAGCCCATTTTCACAAGGGGGTAGTACTGGTGCACCTGGGGGAAAAACATCCATTAGTTACGGTAAATGTATCCAAATCCGTGCTTTATCCAGAACCATGTTCAGGCACCGGGTTCTTGATAGTCCATGCATATCCAGACCTGTGCTGTATCCAGACCGGTGCTCTGGCACGGTTATGGATTCTAGTAGACCACGCATATCCAGAACTATGCTTTATCCAGAACTATGCTCTGGCATGGCTCTGGATAGGACATGAGTATCCAGAACTGTGCCTTGGGCAAATACCCAGAGAGTATCCAGAACTGTGCCTAATCCTAACCCTAACCCAGATATTAGTACGGTGGTTCTGAATCTCTTTACTTCTTCGTTGCTAATGATGCCAGCTTCATGCTTCATGATAAAGTTACCTCAGTTGAGGATGACCAAAAAAGAAGATGAATGATGTTAGTCATTTCTTGCATTTAACTGTAATGAGAGTCATTTTGTGGAAGAGTGGCTCAACTGTTTCATGCGTTCCTTGAATTAAACTGGTTCGAGGTCACTTTTTCCCTTTACACTTACCTCTAGCGATGCCTCGTCCTGCTTGGTGTGTCCGAGGATGTTGGGTAGAGCAGTCATGTTGTACATCGCATGCTTACAAACCTGTGTACTTGTACCTAAAATTTGTTTAGGTACACAGCTCTACGACAAGTTCACTCACCTCTAGCGATGCTTCGTCCTGCTTGGTGTGCCCGAGGATGTTGGGTAGAACAGTCATGTTGTACATCGCATGCTGACACAGCGGGATGGTCAGGGGTTCGCACGTACTGGTCACGTGCTCGGGCAAGTACTCAACAATCGGACGCTCTAGGAGAGGTAACAAGCTGTTGACTTGTTTGTTTTTTTCATACAACACTACACGGAACTGCCTTACATAAGTTAAAGGCAAAGCATGCTGAGCAGTATCAAATCACACTATCACTATGATTAAGACCGGACTGTTAAGTTTGATCCACTCACACCAGTAATAGGGCCCCTACTCTTTTCAATAAGTGTGGTGGGATCTTTGTGATGCCCATCTTTTGAGGACGTCCCTAACCAAAACTAGGAGCTTACTTTTAACTGAGTCAAGGGAGGCAATAGGCAATCTCCAAGGTGGCAAGATAGTATCCATTAGCCAGAGAAGTTTTGCTCGCCACACTCATAGGCCTGGGTGTCAGCCTTGACTAAGCTTTCGTTCACTCCCCAGGGATCTTGGGGAGCGGATGGAAGCTAACAAGGCTGACACCCAGGTTACATAGGGCCTGCTATGGATTTGAAGTCTACGAAGCTAAAAACAAGACCACCTTGCCACCTTAAGTAATAATTGCTTCTTGGAGCATCCAAATTATAAGAAAACCACCCCTACCTTCCCAAGGCGGAAGTTCCTTGTGGTCCACCTTGTGGTAGAACCAGCTGTGATCGTTCGACCGCGTCGTGACGTCACAGCTGCGGTTCTTCGGGAAACAGCGCTTGTTGAACGCGTCCTTTAAGGGAGAAGAAAAACATCAAGATTTTTTCTTTGTTTCTAGTAGTACAGACATACCAGAACTTGTGGCCACCTCTACATAAGGACCAAATTTACCAATGTGACCCTTTTTTTGGTCCCTTCAAATTATACATGGTCCCTTCGATAATTTTTCCATGCTTAATTAAATCCCATTAAATTGATTACTAGTAGGAAGCCTGTCTATAGTAGCTGTCTATAGTCACCACGGCACCTATCCACATAGACCACACTTTGTCGGAGTCCTTTAAGTTGTGTGTGTTTTTTTTTTTTGTTAGTTTTTTTTTTTTTTTTGTAGTTTTGAATGTAATTGCAAAGATATCTTTTGCTATATCTCTGTCAGGTAACTTTTCCAACATTCTGGGTACAGGTATATACAGCACTACTAGGCTCTTACCTGAAAGAACAGAAAGCCCACACAGCCGACGTGTTCGTTGCACTTCTTGGCGCACTCCTCTAGCGACACCTCGAATAACTGCAGGTCGGTCATGACGTCACCGGGACAGTCTCCCCACCGCTTGCTGTAACCCGACACCTCGCCTGTCAAAACACGACTGCCATATAAGGAGTTTGCTCTCACGTGACTATGACGTAGGTATTACCCACCATGCTGGATGGTTAAACCAGGAAGTTGCCAAGTGAATTTGTATACGTAATTGTACTCATGCTATATAAATCTATAGGCCAGAATAGCATTTGTATCAAAGCAGTTTGGAGACAAAAATACACGTGCTTAGTAACTTAGAATTGATTAATTAAAAGAAAACAAATAACTAGAAGTTTAAAATATTACCAGGTTTGGAAGAGTTTTCTGTGCTGCCTGCCGAGTCGGGCCCTGTGTGTATGGAGAGAAGAGGAGGCTGTCAAATATGTAACTTCCTGATTTTTTTAGTAGAAGTAGTACATTGTACTAGTATTCCACTACTACTAGTAGTAGTGGAATGGTTTATTATTACATACAAGAACAAGAAAATGTACACACAGGTCTCCTGGCAGCCGTGATGGCTGAATTGCAAGGCTTATTCTGACATCACATTACGATAATATACATTCATAAAATCAACACACCATAAAATATGTTCCACCAGGCGCTATCGAGTATTAGACCCGTCGCTTCTGACATGTTTCAACTGTGGTTTCAATGTAATTCTAAGTGTCTGTAGAACACCAACTGAACAACTCAAGCTGTATCAGGAAGCAAAGCCCGCTGGCGAAAGGGATTAAGGAAATGTAAGCAATCTTTCTGGGAATAAAAGAAGGTTGTTTTCACACAACTTCCTTCCTCTGCGTTCCTCGCAAGATGATTCGTCACGGTTCGAGCTCCGACCGGCCGTGGGGTAGCCACTTACAGGCTTCGGAGGCGGCTGGAAATTTCTTTAAAGCGTACGTAGAAATTTTCCAAATGGACAGATAATATTAGCCTCTATCAGGCTTTGGAAGCAGCTGGAAAGAGTAGAAATTTGCCAAATAGAGCGAGAGAGATAACATGTCAGGGGAGTTGGTCCGCTAAGGAGTACATTTTCCGCAAGTAACAGCGGACCAACTCCCTCGGAATGTTATCTCTCTATTTGGCCAATTTTTACTCTTTCCAGTCGCTTCCGAAGAATGGTAAAGGCTATAATGTTATCTGTCCATTTGGAAAAATTCTTCTCTTTCTAGCCGCTTCAGAAGCCTGGTAGAGGCTAGTCTATATTTCGCCAATTTCAAAAGCCTGGTAGAGGCTAGCAGTGGACGACCAGTGACCCGAATATTTATAATGCTTGTTTTAGTTAAAGCAACAAAACCGACTCTCGTGGTTTGTTGGCCCAATTCTCCTGGCATGTTATCCGTCTATTTGGCAAAATTTCTACTCTTTCCAGCCGCTTCCGAAGCCTGTTATAGCCTATAACAGTCGGCCATCAGTGACCCGAAGATTTATAATGCTTGTTTCAGTTAAAGCAACAAAACCGACTCTTTTGGGTTATTGGACAAATTCTCCTGGCATGTTATATGTCTATTTGGCCAATCTCTACTCTTTTCGGCCGCTCCCAAAACTTGGTACAGGCTAATACATGTATTATCTGTCTCTTTGGAAAAATTCTACTCTTTCCAGCCGCTTCAGAAGCCTGGTAGAGGCTAGTCTATTTGGCAAATTTCTACACCATCCACCCGGTTTCAAAGCCTGGTACAGGCTAGCAGTGTACGACCAGTGACCCGAAGATTTATAATGCTTGTTTCAGTTAAACCAACAAAAGCGACTCTGGTGGGCTGCTGGACCAATTCTCCTAGCATGTTACCTGTCTATTTGGCAAAATTCTACTCTTCATAGCCACTTCTGAAGCCTGGTAGAGGCTAGCTAGTCTATACTCTTTCCAGCCGTTTCCCAAGCCTGTTATAGCCTATAACAGTGCACCACAAGTGACCCGAAGATTTATAATGCTTGTTTCAGTTAAACCAACAAAAGCGACTCTCGTGGGCTGTGGAGCGCTTGAACTCGGGACCTCTTACATCCACCGACGGGAGGATGGGTTACAGTCGGTATGTTAGACCAACCAGCTGGAGTTTCTCATGCGCTGTGGTGGGGAAAATGGGTTTATTTTCTTTGAAAGTTTGAGGCCAAAACTGCTGAGACTGTAATAATACCGTGTGTGACTTCCGTTGGGCGAGTGTCAAGGGAGTATGTTGTCATCGCTCAGCGCTAAATTCAGGAAGGCTAACCTACGTATTGCGTCAAATTCGGCAAGATAGCATCTTTTTACACCAGAAATGGGTTTATTTTCTTTGAAAGTTTGAGGCCAAAACTGTGGGGACTGTGTGGTATTAGATTGTGTGTGACTTCCGTTGTGTGATTGTCAAGGGGGCATGCATGGGGGTAGTGTCGTCACTCAGCGCTAAATCCAGGAAGGCTAGGTACTATTAGTCTCTATCTACCGTTCTGTACATTAGCCTCTACCAAGCTTTAAGAGGCGGCTGGAAAGAGTGGAAATTGGTAAAATAGCATGCCGACCGGGGGAGTTGGTCCGCACCCATGATAAATTTATCTCTCTATTTGGCCAGCTTCTACTCTTTTTCCAGCCGCCTCCCGAAGCCTGGTAGAGGCTGACGCATTAGTACGTTAAATTCGGCAAGAATTTAACACACCAATTTAACACACTTCGCTTTACACACCATTTTTTAAATGCAAATTCAGGCGCAAATTACACTTCACGTAAAATGCATTATGATTATTATCATATTTTCCTGTTTTGCGAGTTTCCATGCATTACCAGGCGTGCTGCCGGCCGCTTCACCTTCCTGCTTGTTCTTCCCCCGGTTCTTCCCGCGGCC